GTAGATCATTATCATAAAACAAATCGAAGGCCGACTCATTCCGAGATTATTGCTATTTGGTCAAGTACTTCAACTAGAATAATTGTCTTTTGTACTGCAGCCAGAATCCATAATATGTTGGAAAATTGAAATGTATGATAGATAGTTCGTCATATCGACTCATTTAATACATGTATATGAATATCCATCGTTTGAAATTAACATTCTCAATCGATCGATCCAACTTGCCTCGATATTCGTCTAAAATAATAAAAGACATAGTTTATTTTCCTGAGTAATGGAGAAAGATACTAGAATTGTCATTCACAAGAAAAAAAAGTTGAGTAACACTATTCAACCTATTCCAATTTACTTCCATACAACAATTTACCGTGTATTCTAGCGAATCATTAATTTTGACCAATGAGAGTTTGAGAAACTCAAAGAAAATGGTAAACCTTAGAGATGAAAATAATATTTTGTGGGCTTCGATATGAAAAATTCAATAATATTAAAAGATTTTCAAGTTTCTGCTTCTTCAAGATCTATGAGATATTGTAAAAACTTAGGAATTAGAAACTCATACGAAAAAACATAAAACATAAGAAATCTACTGATGAGTTTGGTTTTTTTCGTGTTCGAAAGAGTGAATTTTCTCATTATTTGACGTCATTTATTGACGAGAGCTGTGAGTGATATTATTCTACTCCTTGTTGATGAATAATAGTCTAGAATTGTTCTCGATCACAAAAACAGAGAAGTTGGCTCATTTGATCATACTCCACAAAAACATGTTGAAATTTTTTGTATGTTGACTCTCTGAACATCATACAAGCAATCTGATCTATATTTTTCAAATCTCTGATTTTAATCTTCTGATTATTCTGTAGTCTTCTTCGTTGGTCGACTAGATGATACTTGAAAATCATTGACTTTCCTTCATAGAATTCCTCTATTCAAAAATTGCTCGATGTACAGGAAAAAAAATGAACGCATTGATCGAATTACTCACAGTATGTCTGAATTACAAAGAGAACGATGCTCTTAATATGCAACGTTATTTCATTGAACTGACACATTTCGAATCTCTCTGTCGACTCTATGTTGATCCACTACTGATCGAAACAGTGACTAGTTAAAGATCGATGTATTGTCAGTGAAGTTCTTGATAAAATAGATTATCTATTGAGGGTGTGAGTGAAAAGAATAAGAAACATCTTAAATAATTAATATTATTCTAGATAATCATTTGTCAAAAAGTCCAACATTTAAACCTATTAATGCTTTTCATCGAGTTCGTTTCAGTTATTAATGTTTGTCTAAACTTGATTATATATTTATTGTCATATGAAGTAATGTTCAGGTTGATTTTTGCAACAAAATCATATGATCTGATAAAATGATATTTATTATGATAATTGTTTGATGTTTGGTATTATATTATTGTTCGATTAATTTATAAAATGTTATCTAGGACAAAAAATAAACATATGAGGAAATGGACGTTATTTATCAGAATTACATTTCAATGTCGATATTCACTGTTCTATTTATCATTTTAATCATGATAATGATTAGATTTGAATCGATTATTTATTTTAATATTCGTCAAATGAGTGTTTTTCTGTTCAAAAATTATATAAATAGTCAATTCTCAAAGAGATAATTTCGATTTTAATTAGTATATTTTATTCTTGTTACTATTTTGTTTAATATATTGAGTTGTTCAAGTCTGATAACAGATCAAATTATTAATTATAAAGGTATTAAAAAAAAAATAAAACTACATCAGAATAAATTTTTGTGCGTTGATATAACATATTTATATAATGATATATTGTATATCTTCTGTTCCAGTTAATTTTATAAATTTATCTATTTATAGAGATGTTTCTTCCTATTGTTGATATTTTTTTCATTTAATTATGTTGATTTCATTAGCTATTGTCATAGTGCAAAACAAATATAAATATATTCATTTCTGAAATGAACAATGTTAAAATGAATGATTCATTTAACGTTTTTAAATTTTGATTTGTAAATAAACTAAAATATTTAAATATATTAATTATGAAAATCTATATAATGACTAAATAGAGATAATGTAAATAATAACAATAAATGAATTATGAAAATGATATCTATAATATAAAATGTTTAAAAAATCTTTTGAAATATAATTGATAGATTGGTAACTAAGTTTAAAAAGAAATGTTTTTCTCATCTCAATTTGTTATTTTTTATTCATTTGTTTTGACAAGTATAAATGAATGTATAAATAATAATGAAATAAAATGTGAATATTTATCAATAGGTCGAGATCAAAGCTTGATAACGAATGAAATTCAACGTCATAAAAGATTTGTTCTTTTTCCTGAATATAAATTATGGTTAAATGATTGGCGTTATTTAAATCATCCAAATAAATTTATTTATTGGATTAGTAATTTTTATCCAAATAAAATTCATTCAAATTATGTTCAGTCATATATTCATCATATTGTTAATAATATAAATAAATTTATTAATAATAAAATATCTTCAATAGGTCAAGCATCATCTATTGATAAAGCTAATTTTCATTATAATTTTTTTAATTATGAAATATGTCCAACTGATGATTCATTATCAACAACAATAAATGTTCAAAGTATAGAATCATTGATTATTTATTCACGTCAGGTTATTAAAGACAATCGTTATCGTGCTCATGGAGGAATTCTATTAAATTCTATTAATAATTCAACAATATCAACAATGAAATTTAATATTCATCATACATTTTTAATTCATCAAGATTTTCAATATGATCCAGTTGAATATAAATGTAATTCCGATGGAAGTCATTGTTTTATGGATCTTTATGCTGTTATGTTACATGAAACTCTTCATGGTTTTGGTATTGAGGTATTTTTTTATTTATTTAAATATATGAAATATAATTATTTGATCTTTTATTTGTTTTTTAATTGAAAAGCATACAGAAAAGAAATTAGCAAATAAAAGTTTTCTTGCTGTTATGCATTTATATGCAAGTAGAATAATGTGTCATGATGATATTCGTGCTATTAGAATGGTTTATGGTTTATCTGTTAAACGAATTAATTCGATTTATGATGATACATGTAGAAGAGATTTTCCTCTTAATCCATTACAAAAATTAATAAATAAATGTCATCGATTGATTATTTTTTATATTTATCGAATTGGTTTATCTATTAGTTTTATTTTATTTCTATTAACAATTATTTATATTTTATTAATAAAACATTATTTACATAGAAATGATTATGATCAATTATCGAGTCCTCAATCAGTTCGCTCTCAACAAACATATGATAAAATACATAAACCAGCAATAAATGCTTTTTTATGGCATAATGATTACCTTAATAATTAACAATTTATTATAGATCGAACATATTTTTCTATTTCTATTTAGTTTTATTTTTATTCTCTTCGAATATTTTTTTCTGTTTTCAAAATTTTTCCGATTCACATTAGATCTATTGTAGTTACAATATATTTGTCAATTTCATCACATTTTCTAATAATTTTAAATAATTATTTTTAAAAAAGAAAATAACTCTTTAAGGCTCCTCCTCCTGTCAATAATCAATTTTTCTTCCAGAACAACCAATCTAGCTGAAACATTTCAGAAAATATAACTGCGGATCTAGGGAACTTATAGTAAAAATTTCAGCCAAAAATATAATTATTCTTCATCGATATACATGTTGCAATTTATTTATCATGGATAAGCACGCTTGAAAAAAATCATCCAGAGATAAAAAAGCAACATGAAAATTATTTTTCGACAAACATCTTCGACCAAAATGAGAATTATCTTGGGAAAAAAAAGGGACACACGTAAAAGTAAATGTTGCATAAAATACCTCACCTTCAAATTTCTCTCATAGACACAATCATAAAGAAATAAAAGTCATAAAGCAAAAAAATTAAATTAAATTAAGAGTACTTTAGATGAAAATATCCTGTACTTCGAATTTCATTCATAAAAACATAAACAAAAAAGACAAAATCATATGCAGAAAAAAAATACGAGAAATAATTTTCATGGATGGTTAACTCACTGTAGATATGTCCATTAGATAGTTCTCGCCGAGATCTACATAGGACCATCATTTATTTTGTTGGAACCGGTAGTTGAGCGAATCGCGGCGGGTCATACCAAGACTGGTCCACATAGAGGCTTGGATTGACCGGTTTGTGAGGGCTAGGAGGACGTAATTGAACGTTTAAGGTGTCCATTCGATAGAGCGTGTCGAGTTCTATCTGAAACCATCATTTATTTTGTTGGAATCGGCAGTTAAGCGAATCGCGACGCTTTATTCTAGTTTTTCTGATTTTTTCCTATGTCTTTTTAGCGTAAAATGGAGTTTTTATATGAATGGAAGGGTTTTTTTAGGGAACAAGGTAGTGCAATGGATAGAATTGATCGATATCTACTTGAAACCAGCATTGGTCTAGTTGGAACCGACTGCAGTGCGAATCGTGATTGGAAATATTCGAATTCTGAGGTAAGATATCCTACGTGTATAAAACTGGTAATACTATTCACTTATCTTGATGCAGAAAGAGACTACAAAATTATTCAAAAAAATATCTGATATATAAACTACAATTGAAAATATTTTTGTCGAAAAATTCTCTATAAACGTCGAATGTTTTCTTTCAGAAAAGGATCAACGAATCTGTAGGATGAGCGCTACCTTGTATTTAAATATAAGAATATTTAACAAATAAATTCATTCTTTATTTGATAGTAATCAAAAAAAAAAGTTTTGTAATTGTTATTAATTAATTGTTTGGTAGCCAAGCGAATGGTAATGAAGCTCGATTAAAGAATTCAACAACCATATTAATATGAAGTTGATTTTTTCGATTATTTACTAATTGAATATATTCATAACCACTATTAATAAATAATGAATTATTATTTCCATTTTGAATTTGTCCATAAACATAAGGAACCATAACATGATAGAAATTTGATGATGATGTTTTATTACCACTTATTGTAACTCGTATTTGACCATCTTGACGAAATAATGCTGGTTTAACTAGTTGATTCATTTGACAAAAATCTAATAATTGATTATATTGTAAACCATCAGGAAAATTCGGATGATACCAAACAGCATCATTTGTAAATACGTTTAACCATTCTGAACAAGATATTGTCCATAATGAAAAAAAATTTTTAACATTATTTTCAATTAATTCATTTATTGTTCCAACACTTATATTAATTGAATATATTAAAATAAATGTTAATAATATAGAAAAATTAAATCGAAAAATATCTACAAACAATATATTCAAATTTATTCAATTATTAACAATAAATGAAACACATTAAATCAATGAGAAAAATATATTTGATACATTGTTAAATATTCTTTCGAAAAACATTTATATTTATAATTGACTTTTTTTTATGTGAATATTATCATCTGGTATTCTATATAAATATCAAATATTTGCTTTTTATTTCAAATTTTAAATTGTTATAACAAAAAACAAAGTGATACTTGATATTTATTTTTATTTTCTTTCATTATCTTTTAAATAAATCGGATCTTTTTTTCTATGAGAATTTAATCAGATGGATGTTGAACTAAATTTACTTTTCTTTAATCTTTACTATAATTAATTCAATTTATTATACAATTATTATATAAAACAAGCAAATATCATTTTATCATTGAATATAAACCAAAAAAAGTAAACATCATCAATGAAACTTTGACTAAGAAATAATTCATATATTTATCATTCTCAAATAAGATCATTTTATTCTCGAAATAAACACAAATTTCTCTTTTATATTTCTTCGAATTGAAAATATTTTATTATTAAACAATTTATATATTTTGAATTTCTTTTTTTTAGCAGTATTCAGGTCGATTCCTACCGACAAGAACAGAAAGTTGGCCGAAATCCAGTTATGTTATCATTTACCATAAATTGTGGTGCCCGAAATCGAAATCTCTAATTGGTTACCACCTATGATTTCATTATCCACAAATGTGGATTCGATTTAGGGTGCCACAATTTGTGGTAAATGATAGAAATTCGAAATCCATCGGAAAAAATCTGAAAAATTTGTCGTCGAAATACTGCTTCCATATTTCGGCAATTTACCGTGTTTTCGTGCCAGAATCGGTTCGTACTTCTTGACCTGTAAACACAATAGAATAAAAGATTTTCTTGTGACCTTCATCGAAAATAATCCACCTCCAAACATTTTTCTTATCTAAAGGTTAGTAGTTTAACAATTGAAAAGTTTTTTCTCTTAGAAAGAGACAATTATGTTTACAGAGATCACATATATGTAATACTTGAAACTTGAATTCAAGTATTTAACTATTCAGATTTTAATTTCTCAAGTGTTCTGCGAATATTCAGTGGGGAAGCGCGTTCCCCACCTAACACCTTTTATTTCAGCGTCGCGGCGTGAAGGCGCGAAGCACCCCCCGAAGAGTCGCGACCATGTACGTCTCTGTGTACACTATTATTCCTACTCAGTGCTGCACATTAGCTGGAGTTTCTCACATACTTCTTGTAGCATCCAAGATAATGTCTGCAGCATCTTAATCCAAACCTGTAGTATTCTAGGAAATGCTTGTAGCATTCTAGGTGATACTTGTAGCATCGTAGGCGATGCTTGCACCATCCTAGAGGATGATTGTAGTATTCTAGGTGATAATTGTAGCATCCTATGGAATGATTGTAGTCTCGCAGACAATACCTGTCGATATTAGATGATTCTAGTGGTATTCCAGCCGTTAACTAATTGAGTACTTGAATACTTGAATTGTTGAATAGTTGAATTGTTGAATACTTGAATAGTTGAATACTTGAATTCAACTTTCAAGTTTGACACTACTGGATTTTTTTACATTATCTGATTATATTCGTTTAGTGTTTATGTATATTTAGTTGCTTTTTTTGTAAGACTATCAATAGAATGTTGATCTATGTAAAAAATCTCCTCCCCGGAATCTTTTATTTGTAAATAGACTTTTTTTTCTTGACCCTATTGTAATAAATAAATGCATATCCTACTATTTGTTTCAATTGATCAAATATTCATGAAGAATGATTTATTTCAATGGAACCACAAACATATGATAGAAAAAAAAAATATATCAATTAATCAAACTGGAACGTTTTTTGTTAAAGAGAAAAACAAAATGAATAAATAAAGAACAGAGATCCATCCAATGATGATTTGACACACAGAATAGTTTTGCCTATTTTATTAGTTATTCGATGCAGAAATATTTTGAAATTATTAAGTCAAATTCTTACGATTTTATCTTATTTTATTGGTTAAATATTCTCAATAACTCATTTATTTTCTATTAGCATGTAACACATTAGTTTTTGAGAATGTTTTCAAATTATTTTATTATGTTTGAAAAAAACAAGATTTTATTGTGACTCATTTTATATAGGAACAAATATAAATTTATTTAAATAATCAATCATTAAATATATAATTATTACGTCAAGATATTATTCAATAGATTACTATCGAACGATAATTCGAATTATAATATATATATATTTCTGTGTTATTGATTATCTCTTAACTTTACACATTACGTTCAAAATATGAAACTAACACTTTTTTTATCGAATTTCAATCGAATTTCATAAGACTAACTCGAGTTTTGATAATAATCAATGGTATATTTGATATTTCAATAAAAATTTCAATAAATCGATGTAGTTTTTGAAAATGTTTGAGTAATTTTATTTTCATCGAAATATTGAAATTCATTGAAAGACCGGTTTTAATAATCAACCTTTTATTCTTTCGAATTTTTTTTAAACTGTAAACATATAGAACATTTGCTTTTTATAGTCAGACAAGTCTTTTTATTAATTTCACTGCTTTTTTTTTTATCTAATATGTGCACACTCTACGTATCTTGACTAGGGTCGAAATGATATCTATTACATAGAAGTTTCTAGTGGTTTATTCATTCAATCGAATGTTATATAAGAGAGAGTGGATTACGTAGATATATGTTAAATCATTGTTATTATTCTTCGATTGTGAACTATTGAATAATATTCGTCCTCAAATAATTCTTTTATATCTTATAAATGAATTATTTAATAAAGGAATATTTGTTCTTATATAAAAGGAGTCAGAATTAAATCTTCCTTTTAGATATTTGTACTAGGAAAGTAATATTAAATCATAATTATGTTAGTTTTATTTCTTAATAAAATCTTTGAAACTATTCTGTGTGTCAAACAAAGGAGAACAAACTAATTTCTATTATAGAAATCATTATATATTATTCTAAGACATTAATCTTATCAATAAATGACTGAAATTAATTTAAAATCATCGTAAACCATTAGAAATCAATGATTTTTAATGATTTCGATTGATTTCTATAAATAGAAATGAAATAAATAAAATGAATTTGTTCCCTATTGGTATGAAATAAATAAATTGATAGTTTTCTGTAATTTATTTGTGAAATCGAAGATAAAAATGGAAAGATTTGTTAATTTATTAAGTTATAGATAAAATATAACAAAAGAGAGAAAAACAAAAAATAACAATTCACGAAGTGCGAATACGGAAAGGATGAGCCTCTGTATTAAAGACATATGTATCTAAAGAAATGAAAGAATCATCCGAATAAATTAATAAAAGATATTTTAATGTTTCAGCAATAAAAAAACTTTGTTGAACATCATCATGGATAACTGATGATGAATAAACATCTTTTATACCGGAATAACCACCATCAACTCGACAATATTTTTCAAGACTCTAAATAAATATAAAGTTTGTTTTTTTTCTTTTTTAATTTAAACAAAAATCTAAAATATGAAACATACAATAATAGCATCCCAAGCCCAATCTCGATAAATTTGCTCATGTGTACTTCTCCATAAATAAAACCATGTTTCAATAACTTCAGGTCTTAATATATAATATTTTTCATTCTCTCGTAATGATTTAGCTTCAACATCAACTCTTTCAAAATGAAAAGCTTCAGGACCAAGGCCAGTTGCTAAAAACGAAAAAGAAAATAAATTGAATTTTATTTTAAAAAAAAAATTTTTCTATATTAACCGGTTCTTATATAAGCTTCATGACATGTTGTTCCAATAGATCGTGCTATTTCCATTTGATTATTTGTCGATGTATTTGTTGATAGAGCAGCAGATAAAGCAGATAATACATAAAGACCACCAACAAAACATGTTAAATGACCCATTTGAGGATCTAAACGACCTGAACGTTGTTCACCAAAATACATTAAATTTGTTGTTGGAGTTTTTCTTAACATTGATTCTTCTGCTGCCTTTAATTAATTAATTTATTTTATTGAAAAATACACAAAAAATCAAACTAACTTTCATAGCATCTTCATACATTGAACGAGCTTGTTCATCTTTTTTTCCTGATAAAATCCAACTTTTTAATAAATATTCATAAAAACTATCACCTAATGCACCAAGAGATGCTTGTTCTAAATTTTATTTTTTTTTTTTTTTTATCAAAATTAAAATAAATATTTCAATTTTACTTTGACACCATTTTCCTGTTTGAGGACTAATATAATTATAATACAGATGATTTTCTGATGCATCTTTAAGAACTTTTCGAATTTTTTCTACCTAAAAATAAAAATAAACAGAAAATATTCTTCATCGATTTAAAAGAAATTTAAAAAAAAAGAATAGATTTTGACCTTTTGTAAATAAATATCTTTGCCTGTTAATTGAGATAAATATTGAAATTCAAGATGTATTGTTCCTAATTCGGATAATATTGAACAACCACCACCAGCCCAATTCCAATTTTTTGAAGCTCCACTGGAACAAATTTTTGCTTTTTTTTTTTAAATAAAAATTAAACTAACTTTGATAATGTTATTAGAGCATGAGGAATTCCAGTTGGAGTATCAAATGCTGGAAGAAGACGATCAGCTACTAATTCAGCTTTATCAAGATATAACTAAAACAATAAAATTACATGTAGATTTTACCACTTATTCATTCAATTTTCACTTAAAAACAAATATTTTACTAATAATTAACTTTATCAAATTTCTAACACTACTCATACGAACAGTCAATTTTATGATTATTCTATCATCTATAGAATATCACAAATAGATTTTCCATATATTCAAATGTTAAAATAACTCATTCGAATGAAAATATCTTAATAAAATGTCTCATCTCCATAAAGTTATCATTTAAAATAATATATATTATTCATATCTAATAAGACATTAAATATTTACTGTGAAACACGATCTGAAAGGAGTGTTGAAGTATTTAGGGACAGAAATTTGCACCCCCATCCCCCACAGACCGTGGCAGAGAAATTCCATACCCATCACAGACCATGACAGTGAATCCCGGAGAGACCATCACAGACTGAGAGAGAAACTGTAGTTTTAAAGCATAAAATAAACGGTAAGGTAGAAATCTATGTTGAAGAAATGGAACAAAACAATGTTCATTTAATTACTAATAATAGGTCCATCGTGTTTGACATTTTTAATCCTGCAAGGGATTGTGTTAACAGTTTTTTGAAAGTATTTCATAAAATTTTTTGTTTTGTTTTTTTCTGACATTTAATTTTTAGTAAATTAATTTTATTAATTATTTATATAACTAATAAATATTCTCTTATTAGTATAAATCTTTATCTCATCTATTTATCATTGATTCTTTGAACTTTTTGATTATTTTTTTAAAGATTTTATATTTTGAATAAGGAAGAAAAAAATAGTAGGAAAAATATTTGTCAAAGTATTTAAATAGATAATCTTACTTTATCATTTGTTAATGCATATATTGAAAGAAAACCACCAACAAGACGAATATTTATTTCAAATACTGAAACTTCACTTGCCTAAAATAAATAAATTTAATAAAAAGAAAAAACAAAAAAAAAACACGTTAATATTTGACGAACCACATTTGGGTCAAATTTTGTTTCAATCCAATCTCGAGATTTTTGATAAAATTCTTTAAGATCAGCTAAATAAATTGTATCAATACTATCAATAATTGATATTCCTAATGGACTTGATCCAAATATATTTGCTGAATGACTTGTTTTTGATATAGAACGATGTTCATTAGCACCCCATGCATATTTAGCATAATTTGAATAAGCATGATTTATCATCTGTTTTAATCAAAAAAAATAATTCAGTTATTGAAAATGAAATTTTTTTTTTGTTTTTTATATATATCTATGAAATCTTATATTCGTATATGACACAAAGTTATTAACAATTCTCTTTATAATTTATTATCGTGCTTTTTTTTTTTCAAATGAGAATCGATTGTTTTGATTAATTTGCTATTTTAGGATAATTATGATAAAGATAATGATTATGATAAAAGATCAAAAAGTAGGATAAAATATGATTAAAACGAGAAAAGAAAAAAAAAAGATAAAGAAGTTGTTAAACAACAAAAGAAAGACTATTCGAGAATAACAAATAAGATATATATTTTTTTTTTTGTAAAAAGACATACGAAAGAAAAACCAATTGAGATTATCGAACTTCCAGACTTGTGACATGGATAATTGCGGTTTAGAAGACGTCTTTGATGTCCGGACAACACTCACCTTTATTCGATTATCTCAACTCATATCTTCGTATATATATGATGTCACTGATCGAAAAACAAACGAATTTGTTTTTTTTTCAAACAAGATAAAAGAAATAAAGAAAAGAAAAAGAACAGTTCACACTAATTGTCTAGATAATTTATCTAAAAAGCAGCTGGCATATAACCATATGGACCAGCATACATAGCTGCTGATGATGGATCATACATATTTGGTTGTTGATAAGGAGCAAATGCACCTTGTTGTTGATATCCAAGACTATTTGGATCAAAGTAAGGTGTTCCAACTTGTTGACCAGGAAAAGCATAAAATGGTTGAACTTGATTTGGAACTAAACCAGCTTGTTGAGCAGCACTTAATGGCATTTGAATTGGTGGAAGAATACCAGCAAATTGACCAGCACCACCTTGTCCTTGCATATATTGTTGCATTTGAAGCATAGCAGCTGCTTGAGCTTGCATTGCAGCAGCTGATTGTGGTGGTAATAACATAGCTTGTTGTAATGGATCAGCACCATAAACATTTTTATTTTGACCACCATATTTACCATATTTACCCATTTTACCTTGTGATGCAACTTGTCCATATGCATCAAAAAAAGGAGAAGCACCTGTTAAATATGGTGATGATGGTGGTGCTAACATTGATGATGGACCATATCCAGATCGTGGACCTTTACCAGATGCATGATATTCATATTTATCTACCTTTTCAGATTTTTCACGTTTATTTCCAAAGAGACCCATCTTCAATAACGGATTTTGTTTTAATATTTATCTTGAAATAAATTATATCTTCGATGTGATGTGATGTGATGTGAGTGTCGTCCGATAGAAATGAACGAATGAATTGAATATTTATCTATACATATACGGTTGACCCATTCAACGGGCAAAGTTACGCTTCAATAAACACATTTCATACGAGAAAAAAAAAAAAGATACCACACGAGAGAATATAAAACAATATTTTTCATCTATTGGTTAAAAGGGCGAGAAGAAAGATCTTTTCAATGATGACACAACGCTCTTTTCTTTTTCGTTTTTCGTTTTTTTTTTTTGTGCTTATTTGAATTGAACGTTGCGACATTGAACTAAAGAGAGTTATTCATCGGTCATCAATAATGATGAATATATGTGATGACAGCCGTAACGATGGCCATCTTTATTCATTCATTCATTCATTAAACAGTGTGTTTAATGGATGTCGATATGATCAAACCATATTAATGAGCACATTTCGTTTGTCACACTTCAACGAACACTCAACTCCTTTTTTTTCTCAATCATCAATGATTCTTATATAGAAAAAAGAAAGAAAAAAACAAAACTAACCTCTCGAACTTTTTCTCGACGCATTTCAGCTGATTGAATTTTTTGAAGTTCTTCAATAGACATATTAGAAAATAGTTGTGTTAAATTGTCTTTAGGTAATATTGATATTTGAGATGATGTTTTATATAAATTTGTTTTTTTATCAATATTATTTAAATTATCATGTTTATTATCATCTGAATTAATTGATTCGGCTTTATTTTGATCAATTTTTCGTTGTAATTTTGATTGTTCGTCAACTAAATGTAAAGAATGATTATGATCTTGATAAGGCCAATTAATTGGTGGACGAGGTATTGGTGGAACAAATATATCTTTAAAATCTCGATTTTTAAGTACTGATACTGGATCAATAACAACTGTTGGTAAATATCGAACAGCAATTAATGTTAAACCAAGAAAAATCAAAACAACAAATCCAAGAATTTGCCATGTTCGAGAACGTCGTCGTGTTAGATTTGTTTTAAATAATGGAAGTAATGGTTGAAAATGACCCATTTAACACCATTCAATTAATAAACAACGACGATTATCTAAAACATTTTTATTACATTTATCTTTATTATTTTCATCAATATCATTTTAGATTAGACTTTTCTTTTTTCTTCTTATTTGTTCTTTTATTTTAAAATAATTAGATCTTGAGAATGACAAGAGACAACACAAAAAAAAAAAAGGATAAGTTTTCTTTCGATAATGGTTAAAGATCGATTATTAAAATAGATAAATAAATGATTAGAAATAGAGAGATACATTAAATGACGAGACGAACAATATTTAGTTAAATAATATCTTTTATAATTTATCCTTCAATTGGAACTTCATCTAATAAAAGACGAAAAGAAAATGGAATAAATGGATAACCTTCACCTTTATAAAATTTTGATTGAAATTCAACCCTACAATTTAAATATTTATTTTCAAATATTATTTAAATAAATAAATAAATAAATAAACAAACCAATGAAGTCGAAGTGCATGAAGAAAAGCTGAAAGTCCTTCCATTAAAAGTAATATAAATACAGTTAAACATGACCATGGCATAAAAACTAAAAATGTTAATATTGAACCAGCATAACCATTTGTTGATAATCCAATATGTAATACCATTTGCCATAATACTTCACTTAATTCTTTAAATTATAGAAAAATTTTTTTAAAATTTATTAATAAAAAAAAAATGAAAAATCTACTAACGAGCATGAGCTAATGATAATGCCCAAAGACGTAAATATGAGGCTGTATGAGATATACAACCAAGAAAATATTCAATTGTATGAATACCTTGTTCAACCCATACTTCACTCATTTCAACCTAGAATTTAACAAACGTTTTTTAAATAAAAATAAAAAGAGATTATTTATTTAGTAGAATATTAATGAAGCGCACTTCAGTTTGATGGTGTTGTTGGTGTAAATGATCATCATCAAGTATATCATCTGTATCGGTATCCCGTAGGTCAACATCAAGCACAACGCCCCTCTAGAAAAACAAGCAGCATTTTATTAGTATTTTTATTTCCCCAATTTTTTTGTTTAATTATAAATTAATTTTATAAAAAAAAATTTCTTATTTTAATTTAAATAAAAGCATTTGCATGTTTTTTTCTTTTTTTCTTTAAACCTTTTTCGTCGACTCGTTTTCATGTGTTTGTTCATCGATTTCATGTTCAGCATTTTCTGTGTGATTTGTTACTGTTGAATACTTTTCATATTGGTTTTTATTTATTATTTTAAAATAAATAAAAAAGAAAATAAAAACTTACATTAGCTCGTCGTTTATTCATAATAATTCTATAAATTGGTTTTCCTAAAAGCATCCATGGTATACAAATAACAGCAAATATAATAAGAGCTGTTTGAACTCCTCTTTGACCACTATAAAATGTTCTGGAACTTTCAGGTTCTGTTGGATATGATAATAATATCATATTTATTAATTCTTTTAAATAAATAAATAAATAAATAAATAAAATATTAATTAAATTAAAATTAAATCTTACGAATAAGTAATGATGGTGCTTGAGTTGAAACAAGTCCATCAAAATGTGTCCATTTATAAAAAATTAATATTATTAAATAAAAGAAAATACATGCTAAAAATATAATTTGAGGAAGAAATTCAAGATATATTGCATAACGATGATTAAAATGTCTATTTAATAATAAATAAACAAAATCTATATTATAATATAATATTAACTTACAAATGATTCCATAAACTAAGAAAAACTCCAAAACCCATTTGAATTATTCCAATAATAATTGCAAATTTCATTTTAACTGAATTAGTAAATGTTATTTTATTTTCTGATACTTGCCAAATAGGATCAAGACCAAATGGATATGGTGTACCACTATACATTTGTTGATATTCACGAGTTCCACTATAATTATATGGAGTTGGTTCCAATTGAACTGTATCAATATCTCTTCTATTTAATATTTCATCTCTTAAAAACGAAAAGAAAAAAGATTTTTATTTAAAATAAAAAAAAAGAATTTACCCAAATTTAACTCTCCATGATGATCCAAATATATTTAATGATTTTGAAAAAACATCATTATAAATAAGACCAGTGTATATTGAAAATAAGCCCATTAATAAAATAATATATCTTCCACCAAAAAAAATAGTCCAAACTTCTTGTGTTCTCCATTTATCTTTAAGTGAACGTTCTTTAATAACCATCCAAAGTGCAAATACTGATACAATAAGACCATGACCAGCATCACCAAACATAACAGCAAATAAAAATGGAAATGTTATTAATACAAATGGCATTGGATTTATTTCTCTATACGTTGCAACACCATATGCATCAACTAAATTTTGAAAACCTTGAGTAAATTTATTTAATTTATGATGTGTTGGTGGTTGTTCACGAGTTATCATTCGATTTAATACTGATGATACTGTTCCACCACCACTTGCTTCCTATTTTAATTAAATTTTTTTTTTTTCTAATTTATCAAATAAAAAGAAAACTTACAGATCCTTTTCTAAGTGCTAATTGAATTCGATCAAGTTCGGAAACTGGTGCCCAACATTCAGCAATAAAACATTTTCTTGCAACATCATTATTAAACATATTCATTGTATGATAAATAGCTTTGATTTTTTTAACTTTAATTTGCCATGTTCGAAGATTTCTTGATGTTGCTGCTAAAACTCTTTGACGATGATCTTGAGTTTGACTAAGAACAACAGTAAGATCATCTAAACGTGTCATAACACCCATTGCTAATTCACGACGTTCATGAGGATTTTCTGGACATGGATATATATTTGCACGAAAACTAATTTTATTATTATATTTAAATTAGTTTTTTTTATTTAGAAATAAACAAACCCTTCGCAAATTTTTTGAACACGATTTTTTAATTGTTCACCTTGAAAAAAAACAACAAATACGGTTTTATGAACTTTTTCACCCTAAATAAGAAAACAAAAAAACTTGATAATAAATAAATAAATAAATAAATAAAACAAACTGTAAGAGGATCTTCAATTAAATCAGGAATATCAGCTTGTTTAACAAAAACATTTCCTCGACAAACTCTCCATAACATTCGTTCAAATGTAACCATACGTTCACGTGGAATAACACCGGTTATAAATCTATTTCACATTAATAAAACAAAATAAAACAATTATTTTCAAATAAAAAAAAAACATTTTAAGAGGGGGACACAAAGACGCCACACAAACATATATTTATATATTTGACACTTTTTATTTTACCCAAGTTTCATTCCAGCAGTCGCTGTTGTTTGTCCACCTAATTCAATTTCTCGTTCACCAGCCATATCTTCCAAAACACCAACTGGATGAGCTTGAGCCTTTAGAAAAAGAAAAGAGAAAAAGGAATCTAGCAAGAGAGCTTAATCAAAGAGCAAAAAAAAGCATATTTGAATAAAATAAAAAGTTATTCAAGCAGCGATTGTGTTGTGTCCCCCTCTCAATGAATAAATAATATGTTCTCTACCCCAATTTATTATGAGCGATGATTGAATATTCATAAAGCAGTTGTAATTGATCGTCGTCGGTATCCCTCTGATTATGATTGTGTGCTGATGTGAATGCCGTCTCTGCCTAGTTTTTCTCTCGTTAATTGAAAAGCAAAGCTTTATCCTTATTTATTCAATTTACCTCATCAAAAAATCCTTGAGTCATTTGTAAATTATGTTTTAATTCTGTTAATTCATTGAAATTTCTAAGAAGTGCATCAGCATTTGTATTTATTTCTTTTAATTCATGATCCAATTTTTCAAATGTTGCCTAAAATATTTATTATTACAATAATAAGGAGAAAAAAAAATAAAAAAACAAACTTCAAGATCGATCATTTCACGAGGTTTTGGTGCATCGGGATTATCTTCCGGATCATAAATCGGTAATTCATCTTTTTTTATTTCCGTTTCAAGAAATCCTAAACAAAAAAATAAAAATTAACAACTAATATAAATAGGACTAAATATATATTCATACGAAGTTTCCGTTCCATTTCTTCACATCGTCGAACTTCGTTTACAAATTTACGTTGAAAAGAATTTACATTTGGATTCAGCTAATTAAATAAACCAAAAAACAAAAAACAATAAAATTTATTAAAAATAAATAAATTTAAATAATCATACATCACGAAATTGCACAATTCCCAATTCTCCCAATTCAGATATACAAGCATAAGCAGCATCAGGTTGCAAGAAGAGTTGACATAAAGTCATCTCCTCACTGCGAAATATCGTACTCATCACTAGATTGTTCAAATCAGAAAAACAAAAAATGAAGATCTAAAATTACAGCAATTATCACCAACATTAATTATTTATTTGTTCGATAACACATTTTCATTTCAATGAAAAATATTATGACAAATAGATATTCATCTTTATAAAAAGTTTGTTTTTTTTTTTGAAAATTATTCGATAAGATTCCATTTTAAAAAATATTGTCAATGTCCTCCTCCTTTTAAGATCATTATCAACGTCAACAACAATAACAACAATAACAATCGCCAGTTTTTTTTACTAATCAGAATTATTCTCTTTTATAGATGGCGTTAATTTTGTTTTTCTTATTGAAATCAAATAAAATCAATTTTTTTTAAAAACTTTTAACTAAATTTCTTTATGAAATTTTATTTATGAAATAAATGATCTGACCGAAAATAATATATAGAATACAGGATAAGTGGGTTAAATTCATTAGTCATTTTATCTGGATCGATGATTAGCTCATCTCAACTATACATGTCAAACTCGAATAGTTGTTACAACTATTTAACTATTCGAATATTCAACTAGTCAACTATTCAAATTTTATACATATCTACAAAATACGTCATAGGATGTGTGAGTGCCGTGGAATGCGAATACAGGAGAAAACACAAAACCCAACACACCAGGTGTGGATGCCGTGGAATACGGACATAAGAGAAAACACAAAAAGAACATAGTTTCGGTACCACATTACACTTGGCACAGAGGGGGGAAAATGTGTCAGTGAGACATATAAAAAGATTCAAAATCCTCGATTTACAACAGAAAGTTCCAAAATTTGAATAGTTGAATAGTTGTAGCGAATGAACAATTTCTACACTACTGCATCTCAATATGACCGTTGTGAATCATATAATAGAATGTAATTCAATTGCTGCATCTAGGTCGGATAGTTCATTTATCGTTCGTCTTTGGTTTTCCGCATATTAATATCCGTAATGATGTGTTGCTGGTTCAATTCAATATTCAAAACATCAATATGAGCGGTATAAAACGTTCTTGGATTAGAGAACTGCGGGCCCATGGTTCTTTTGGACCTGGACTCGAGCCGGATAAAAACTGAATTTCTGGATCTGGATACGGACCAGGATCCGTAAAAAATGAAAGTTTTGGATTCGAATAGATCCAGATTCGAGTTTTTTTCCACTAATATTTGGCACTTTTTATATGCACGATCAAATAGAGTCAAGATTTTAGTTATTTATCCATATACTCAGAAAAAAGTCAATATAAAGTTATTTCTTGTTGTCATTCCTCACATAGTTCTATTCAGATTCGAAGATGGATGCAAACCGGATCTGAAGATAAATCTAGATATGAACTCGGACCAGACAGAAGTTAAATTTCTGGACTCGGATCCGGCAATAAATTAAAGCCTGGACCCAACCGAGTTCCAGTCTGGAAGGATCGACAGCTTCCTAGCTCGAATGAAATATTTGACTGTAACGAAAAACGAAAAATCTCTAGAAGCAGCTGATATATCTATTGTAACTTAACTTAAAATCATTAATTTTTTATATGATTTAGATGTTATCGGAAATGATGAATGAAATTTCTCCGAAAAATACAGAGGAATTAATAAGACATATTAAGTATCGAATGTGTGCTTTATATAAAGCAAAACAGTTCGAAAGTAAGAAAATGGAATTTAAAGAGTAGAGTAGTAACTTGAATAATTTTCTTTTTGTGTAGAAATAATTAATGATTGTTCAAGATTACAGGATTTAGGCATTGATATTGAAGATGATGCTGAAATATCAATGATTCAAGTGTAACTCATTGCCATTCGATTATTCGAATATAGTTTTCTTTTTTTTTGGGAATCATTAATTCGAATTGGTCAACAACAAGCTCTAGCTATACTGGAAAATCTTGTTATTAAATCATCTAAGATTTTTTAAATATTTAGTTAAATCAAACTGGGAGACGATAAATAAATTTCTTTCTGATTGATATGAATATTTGAAATTATAGTTATTGAGTTTTCTTTCGTTCATATTAATAGTTATATCCTACATGATCATAGTTTTTTTATTAGTTTACAATTTGTTTTATTTATAGTTAAAGTGAAACAAGTTCAAGTGTTGTATAAACGTTTGCACTCCACTGACTACGACAAGCTATTCAATGAGTAATTTGTTTTTTGAGAAATTTTTTTTGATTGTTTAAGAAAATTTTTAATATAAATATTAACAATTTTCTTTGTCTTTTTAGAGATTATAATATTTCTTGTCAATCATTCTTTAAGAAAAAAATAATTGTTTCATAGTTGTTTATTTTTGTTAAAACAAAGCTTGTATTTTATTTTACCAATTTTGATTGTATGTAAAATGTTTTGTTTATCAATAAATGATTTAGTAGAATAATAATTATCTTTGATATACAAAATAAAAATCAAATAATCTTATTGGGAATGAAATTTCAAAATGTTAAATATTGTTTTGTCTGTTAATATAACTTTCACAAGTTAATTGATAGTTTTACGAAACCGCTTTGGTCATTTGATTAATGTATCGAGTATAAAAGAAGTTGCAACGATGAACAAAACTTAGCAGGATTCAACATGACGAATCTTTTCTAATGTTTGACTCATCGAAATAAGATTAATCAATAGAAAGCGTTAGTTTAAAGATCGATTAGATTATGTTAAGTAGTGAAGAATAATTTTTTGTAGATGGATGGTAGATATGAATTCCTCTGTATCTAGAGAAATTATATTTGAAACAATTATCATGTAGATTTTTTGAAGGAATTATTGAAATTTTTGTCATGCATAAATCCACATAAACACTATTTGATCGTCTCTTTTTGATAATTCTTCATTCAAATTCATTTGACTGAACTAGTAGAAACCTATCTAAAAAAAGTAAAGATTTTTCTATAGTCTACTCTTAAAAATGATTACTAAACTAGAAGCTTCCCTGATCATCAAATACTGAATAAGTCTCATGGGTCGTATTGTCATATACCAAGAGTTTATATTCAGTTTTATTTTGAGAACTCAAGCCCACGTTGATGGAAATATAATCCATTGACATCTTCATAGATTGTCAGAAAAATATCAATGGAAATCGTAGCAAAAGGATTTTTGAAGCAATTTTGATATCTCCTAATGGTTGAAATCTGTAGATCTGCGATTTTCACTATATCCTTCGAAAAATCAGATGCTGTTCGAAATAGGCAATATCTGGTCGAAATAGTAGGTTTTCGATTGAGCTTTCTCACGCACTGACAGATCCAGTTCACGTTAATGGGCTCTTAAGTACAGAAGGCCATTCGAAATGTGAAAACTTTTATAACATGCACTATTGCAAGAATTTTTAATTTTCGCTCTCAGTTACGAAGAATCGGATTGCTTACATTTCTTGACAAGTACCGTGTACACAACAAAATATGAATTTACTTAATGAAGACGTGCGATTCTAAATGATTAATCAAGAACCATTTCATTTTATTCGTTCTTTCAGTGTGCTTAGTCGATGTAATATAAAACACAATTATTAGACTTCTGAGTTTAACATTCCCTTGTCATTTCTTCTAATCTATATGGATTGTCCTCACCTTATTGTCCTTTCCTTGACTTGTTCTTGCCTCCTTTAATGCTCTTTTTTACTCTCTCTTAGTTGCATTTATAAACGTGTGCTTTTGATGTAAACGATGCCATTATATGATATGAAGGAATAGAATATAGTGTAATCCCATCTGTACTAACACTACTTCTATCAGAAATCGTCACCGTTTTCTTTCCACAAACTTCGACTATCGCTCTATCGATCACAGAAATATACATGAGTCGGCTGAAAAAATGCTAAATATGCTAATGTTTTTGAATTTCCAGCCTGTTGTAACTCATTTTTCTATCTTTTCAAGACTACCAATTGACAAAGCTTGAAGAGATAGACATACGGTTGAAATTCTACGTTGCGGTAAACCTGACTTCCTGCCGAAAGCCATACATATGCAGGGAAATATAGTGGGAAAAAGACTAATCTGACGTGTGGATGTGGTTGCGGCTGTGGACGTGTAGATGGATGTGGGTGTGGATGTGGGCCAAGCGAAGACTCAAACCCATATCCACACCCACACCCTCATTACAATAGCTACGAAAGAAAAAAAAACAAGACGAAAAGATCTTATTTCGAGAGTAACAAATATATTATATAGGGTATCCGAAAATTATAGGACCCCTCATACATTCATAAAATAATACTTATTTCATTAGGAAAAATTTATACTATTAAACTATTGATAACCTATTTATGCGAGCATGGTTGTCTACTAACTATTGCTGTTGTCGATTGTCTTTGCCTGTTCCTCTATAGATAGTAATAACATAAAAATGAAAATTTTCATTTTTATGTTATTACTATCTATAGAGGAATACGCAAAGACAATCGACAATAGCAATAGTTAGTAGACAATCATGCACACATAAATAGGTTATCAATAGTTGAATAATATAAATTTTTCCTAATGAAATAAATATTATTTTATGAATGTATGAGGGGGTCCTATAATTTTTGGATACCCAATATGAAATAAGAATAAATGATTGATTTCGAATTGAATAATGATTATCTTTATAGAATTTATATTGAAATATTTGATCATCTGCTGTTCAAGATTATTTTTATTTCTATCTAAGATCGTTTGTTTACCGTTTCTATTTCTATATTTATTTTCAAAAGAAAGAGACTTGCTGTTTTTTTTTAAATATTTATTTTAATGAATTATTGTATTGATTATCTTTAATAGATATTAATTAAATGATAAGAGAATGAAAAATATAAAATAGTTAATTGTTGTCTTTGCTTGATTTTCTATTTTGAATATTTATTTCTCTTTTATATTTGGAAAATAAAATCATCGAAGAATGATTTAGTTAAAGATAAATTCTTTTAGATTCCTATTTAAAAAAAAATAAATTTCTAAAAATAGTTAAATATAAATAAATAAATAAAAGCTAATGTAAAATAAAACTAGTCTGAAATAAAATAAGAAATTCTCTTTTATAATTGAAGAATGTTGAAAATAATAATGAAGGATTAGTTTTGTTTTCTTTTAATTATCTTTGACGAAGGTCGATTATAACGGCAACTGGATTTTATGAATAATCGCCTTTGGAAAGTGCTTCCAAATCGGAAACATTAATATAATAATCATATCCGACGAATAACCTTAAGTCATTTTATCCGTTTGATCGATTGGAACCGAAAAATAACTTAACCTTCGATTCTTTATTGTCAATCTCTTAGATTTCTCACAGTTTTCTTCTTCCTCTGAGATAGAAATCATTGATCTCGATATTAAAAAAAGCAAAACTCTTTCCATATTATAGAGAATTTATTATAGATATATCTCGATTTCAAACGTAAACTTAACATTTTTTCTTGGTATATTTCACTTGTCGAAGAAGAGTTTTTTCTATGAAAAAAGAAAAAAAATTCGTAAAATGTTTAATTATATGAAAAGATAATGAAGATATGTTTATTTATTTATTAAATATAACTAATGATTAATCAATATTGTTAATATATAATAAATAAATATAAATTAATTATTGATTGATAATGATTTTTATTTAAAATGAAAAGAAAAGAAAAGAAAAGAAAAGAAAAGAAAAAAAATTGTTTGATATAATAATCCACCGAGACGTGATTATTTACTGATTAAATAAATCTATATAGAAAAAACCTGAGTCAAATAGCTGTTGAACTTGGATCATTTGGTACAAAAGCATGTTGATCATCATCATTATTAATAATAAAACTAGTTGGTGGATCTTGATTTTGATTATGATTAATAATTGGTTTTGTTCTATAAATAAATGTTTGATGATTAGTTTTTGATCGTTTTCTATATATCCATGGTGACCATTTATTTCTTTTAATATAATCACGAAAATTTTGTGTTAATATTAAATAAAGTAATGGATTTAATAAACCATTTGCATAAACAAAAACAAGTGTTAAAAAATTTAATATTTGTATATAAGGTGTTGGTCCTCGTTTATTAAATGTATCATAAAGTTGAAGTATCCATAATGGTGACCAAAGAACAAAAAATGATATTATTATTAATAAAACAAGTGTTGTTGCACGTCTTTTATAATTATTTAAAGAATTTTGTGATAATGATAGACGTCGTGATCTAATTGACCAACGATGAAGAAATAAAATTAAACGAAATGAAAATGTACATGTTATTAATGATGGAAGTAAAAATGCACAAGCAAATTTTAATTGAACATAGCGAGATAATTCACCTGGTGTCCAACGTGATTTACATTCACTTACACCAGATACTAATGCTGCTCGTGTTCGATTATGAACAAATAATGATGATGACATTGGTAATGGAAATAATATTGCAAATAACCATAATAATATTATAAATGATAATACAAATATTATTTTCACTTGATCATTATAACGACGAGATCTTTCACGTACATCCATATAGCGTTCAACACTTAATGCTGTTATTGTATAAACACCAACCTACAAGTTTTCGATAGAACTTTTTTTTTTCATTTTAATTAAACAAACTTTTTTTATTTTATTAACTTATTCGAAACAGTTCATTTATATGACATTTTTTATTATCATATATTTAAACAAGTTTAGTAATGAAATTCATTTGAATTCTCTTTTTAAGATATAAAAAAACAACAGGTTTATTATCTTCTTTAAGACTTATATATATAGAATATAAATTCATTCGATTTATTTTTCATAATTTAATTCTCGATATTTTATTGACTAAATTTTTATCTTTAAAATTCATGTTGACAGATGATTATTTAATCTACTTAGATTTATTCGATATGACAACAATATTAATATTTAGTTCTTTTTAAAATAATAACTCCTTTAATCATTATTATATATATTAAAAGATAAAACAATTATCTTTATTCATAATAACATATAATCATCTTATCAAATTAATTTGATTTTTATTAAATAATTCTTATTTAATTAATTATTTACAATTTATCATTTTAATTATCTTTTTATTTTTATTTATTAAATAAGTTAATATTCATTTATCCAACTCTTTTATCTATTTTGTTTTTTCTAAAATGAACCAACCAATCGAGAATCAAACAGAAATTTCTTTTGATCGAATATTTTTAAATCTATAAAATCACCTAAAAAAATACTCGGGGAAATAATGAAAATAATAAGGATATTTGCTGAAAGAAATAAACAATTTCTATATTGAAATCTATTAGGATAATAAGTAATTAATAATTAAAAGTAAAACTTACAATCATAGCAATAATATCAATAGCAATAGCTAATTGACAACCAACGCGACCAAATGGCCACCATGGAATAACGATATGTACCGCAAATATCGGAATGGTCAATGAATAAACAATGTCACTGACAGCCAAATTAATAATTAACAGATTTATTGGTGTTATTGCTCGGGCACCAACAATACTTATTATTGATACGCAATTAAGAATAACTGAAGCTACAAATATAATACCTAATATAACCAATTGTGGAACTGGTGGAAGACTCAATACAAGAGGAGGACCATCACCATCACCAACACCACCAATACCTAAACTGGTGTTCATCGGCTAAAATATCAATCTAATAGAGAAGAAAAAAAAATAAATAATTATATATTTTAGATATAAAACTCGATAAGAAAATAGATTGTCGATAGTCAAACAAAGAAGACATTGATTTATCATTTATCCTTGACTCGATTTTTCTCTATCAATCCAGAATTATCTACATAATCAGTTCTTCTTGTTTTAATGGGGAAAAAGTAACTCTATTTCCATGTTTCCTTCATCGAATAACTAATCAGAATAAAATAAAAATTAGTTAAGATAAAAAAAAAAGCAGATATCTCGAAAATAACGTTTTAAGAACATAGCGGTTTAGGTTTATTTGTTATAGAAGATAGGTGAGATTAAATCTATTATATTCGAATAATAAAGAGATAGACTAAATAAGAATATATGATTTGTAAAATAAATAATTAAATATAATCGATTAATTGTTTGAAGATGATCAACAACGGAAAATCCATGATTAGTTTGACAATTGGAAAAGACGCGTTCGATCAATAATCTTATATTATTCTATCCGAAAGGGGAAAGACTTTTTTTTTTTCTTTGTTCTTTATTTGGTCGACATCTCCAATCAGTCAGTCAGTCGTTTTGACAACTGTTTCTTCTATTCGATTGATGATGCAACTTTAGAGCAATGATTGTTAATTACGTTAAAGAATAGACGAGAGCGATAGAAGAACAAATAGGATGTCTCGTCTATATTCAGCCTACTATTATCTAATCATTTCGACAATGTCTTATATAAATAGATTTGCTTATTCAATATTATTTTGTCTTGTTCACAAATTTACAATCAGTTGATTAACTCGATAAAGATTTTATCCTCTCTTATTCTTTTTTTTTTTTTTTTCTTTAATTAAATAATATATTGATAGAATATTAAATAAAAGACATCGAATTGATAAGAAATGACAGTTTGATTTCTATTGAAACAAGGTCATTTTCTTTCTCTTATTGATACAAAAGGCAACAAAAAGAAATAGTTGATGACATCTTTCTTCGCCAATAAGACAATAAATGGATAATCGATTAGATTTTCTTTGTTTATTTATTAAAAACCTAACAGAAGTTTATCTCATTCTATAGATTTAATTTAATCTATATTTGTTTCTTTAATATATTTACATTATTCAGATCTACCTAGATTTTATCGATATGATTTATTTTCATTTTTTATTAATAAATTTTTTTTCCTTGTTGACAAATAACAGTTGAATATCTATATATTTCAATATATTTTATTAATTTTACTTTTCTTTTAATAATCAAAACAAAGAAAAATCTAGATTCAATAACAATATATCTCATTTTATTAATTCATACACTTATACTTAAATTAAATAATGAAAAACTAAGATAAAATGGTCATATTATATCAATATAAATCGATGTTAGATAATCAATATAAATAAATATTCTTCTCAAATTGTCTTTATTGAAAAAATCTTTTTTTAAAAATGGTCATCAATTTCACTCTCTGACTTGTTTAGTAATAAACTTCTTTATCTCGAAATATCTATGAAATTAAAAAGCAAATAAATTGTTTAGATTTTAATCATTATAAAAAAAGAATAATAAATTCCGATTATAAAACGAAATTTTTCGAATAATTAAATGGTTAATTCTATATACTATAAAATATGTTAGATCGATATAATAGATAACATCGATTTATTTTGTCTCTATGAAGGAAGAATTCGACTTGAACAATAAAGATTCCTATGAACAAATCACCTTTAACTCAGTTTGACTTCTTTTTTTATTAAAAATCTATTCATTTATTGTATTTGTTTCATCACTTAATTCTTTTCTGACAGTCTTTTATTTAGAATATTTTAATTCATCTTTGATAAATATTCTTTTTTCATATAAAAATAATTTTTTCTTTTAAATCATTTTCAAGTTAAAAGAGAATATCTTTCGTAAGTACGTTACTGGTATATTATTTTATGTCTTAGATAATCAGTTCATAATTTAACTTATTTCAATGTCATTCCACGATGTCAATTTATTAATTCAATCAGAATTGAGTATTACAATAAATAAGACAAAACCTATTTACGAATTAAACTCTCATTTTTTAAAAATCATTCAACAAAATTCTATTAGATTATTAGGAAATTTATTTCGGCAAAAGTCGACTGATGACAAGCAAAAGTTGAGACTGATAGATTGAGCCTGTCGTTTTTTTCAAGAGAGATAGATTCGCCTCTTTTAGATTGATTCACTCTTAGCTATAAATATTCATATTGGCATATTTTAATGATAAGTTCAACGAACACACAAATATTCTGTAATCTGAAAGTTTTCAATAGAAATCTTCGATTGAACTCGATCGACCATTTCATTTTTGAATTCTTTTATCTTTTAATTGAGTTCGATTCGATAATTGGTCTTAGTTTTTTATTTGTTGAAGCCTGATGATCGAATATAATCGATTCGCATGTGAATAAATAGAGATAATATACAGGCACTAGTAGATTTCGTCACACAAGAATTCCTTCCGATCAGTTTGTTGTTTATATAGTAAAGGATACATTAATTGAATAACGAGATTTCGTTTAGTATGTTATTTAATTAATCACGTAAATGTATAGACTCTTATTGGATTATTAGATCAACATGATGGAGAAAAGATAAACTTGAAAAGAACAAATAATTTACTTATGAAAAAATTCGTTAAAATAGTCTTCTGTTAAAATACGAATAGTCTGTTGTTAAATGAGATATTATCCCATTAATAAGATAGGTTAAAATATGTTGATTTAAGGAAAAGCAAGAAGAAATGAAAGTGAAATTGACTCTTTTCTAAGGTGTATAATTTGTTGAGTAATGTTTCAGATAAGTTCCTCTGATATGTAAAACTGCTCAATTAGTGAATAAAGTTATTCAAACATTCTCAAAAGACGTTTCCCTAAAGATAAAATGTAGATGACGAGCAGTTCTGGATTCTTCGAACATATTTTCATTAGAATTCCATCGAGCAAGAACTGATAGAATAGTTATCTTTAAAAACTAAACATTTAAAAAGATAACGGATGAATTAACTTCCAGTAGAACAGAAATATTTAAAATAACTAATTGAAGAGTTTGATAGTTTTTATAATAACTACTATCGATGCACAACGATAGAATTAGTCTTATGTAAGTAGTTTTGTTGTAAATGTTCCTACTAGTAGGAAAATGAAAACTAAAGTTAATTAAATAAAATACTAGATCAATTTTTAACGCTAAGAAAACTTCTACAACAATAATCAATTAGGTAGGTTTGAAGAAAAAGTTAACTAATTTATTTCGCGGAATAAAGACCAATAAATATTCGAATGAATGCCACTACTTACGGAATGGGCTAAGTAATATCATTGTTGTAATCTTCTAAATTATTCTATTCTATTTCTGTTCGATTGACTTTCTTCTAGAGGAAATCTTCTAACTTTCATATTTTGTTTTTTAACACAATCTATTAAGTTATTCAAAATATAAATGCAAAGTGTAAGGCTATCACGAGTTAGGGGACGAAGCTAAGTGATCCCTCAATCTTGCCAAATTTTCCTTCTCTTATTCATCGATTTAGATATAGTTGCTTGTTTTTCCACTCACAATATTCCCCAAAATGACATCTTCCTCCCGAAAACTTAACAAAATTCCAATTTTTTATCAAAAATTGTCGATTTTTTGAATCTATCGGTTGAAAGAGTAGGTTCTCCTAGAAATACACACTCCATGATGGTAGACGTAAAACATTTTCGAGCACTATTATGGATCAGTTTGACAAACTCTCTGGACAAGTTAATATCTGTTTTTATTCGAATTTATATATGAATAAAAGTATTTGATTTGTGACATAACAGAATAGATTATAGATAAAAGAATTATTTTTCTCATAGAAATTCATATGTTCCTTGAATATTCGTTTTAATGAATAAATCAATTTATTTGAAATTATCAATTTAATATATCAGTTGACAAAAAAAAACAAGATGATATTTTACTTTTATTAAGAGAAGAAATTTCTAATAGGAATATGTGAAAATCTAATGAATATTTAATTAAAGCCAGATTTGAATTGTTTCATGATAACATTGAAGTCGATTAGGTCGACTAAGTGGTTTTTCATATATTTGTTTTCGAATTAGATGTGGATAATAAGGTGACATAAATGAAGACTTTTCGATAAACTGTATATCAATTGAAACAAGTTGTTTGAAATGATCAACAAGAAAATGCATTATTTTAATAATACCATTTGTAGATTCATTTTTATCATCAGTAATAGATGATGATTGTATTTCTTCTAAACGATCTGAATATCGAATACAAAATGAAATTGTTTTCAAATTAGGTAATTGATTGTAGAGTCGTGTGCAAAATCGTTCCGTCCTAGACAATTCCATAGTAAAATCCACTATCTTCAGCGATTCTATCTAATTAATAAAAAATAGAAAATTCTATTCAACTAGAAATTAAAATATATTTTAAGTTCAAACATATAATTATCTTTTTCTTTCCTCGATTTTAATTTAAATCATTTGAAAACAAAATAAAAATCCTTGTTTTTAACTCAATGATAGAATAACCAAACAAAGAGAAATACAGTGGATGTCATAAGTCTCGCACCACTTTTTTGTTTTGGGTGGTATTACCCAACGGTACGACATTTCCTCAATTATTTTTTGTTTTTGTTCGATAGAGGAGCTGAAGTACTACATATATCTATTAGGATTTAATAGGACAAACTCTTCAACGTGAAATACATAAAAACAATAAAACGTTCAGTACTAACGAAAAAATAACATAAAAAAAGACAAAATTATAATGAAAATGTTTGGAAGACTTTTTCTTTTGCAATAAGAGTTGTTTATACAAATTTTGTAGAGCTTTTCGCAACGCATCTTTTGAAAGAAAAATCAAGTTGCTATCCCTTTCTTAAGCCGAGATACATACAAAATATAAAAGTCTTCCAAACATTTTTATTACGTTAAACTGGTTGGAAAGTAACACTATCATGGATTTTTTCTTTTTTTTTCAATATAGAAGAAGTCAATAGGGATTTATTCTTAAAGATTTTAGTAGAGTTCTTCACGATGCATTTTTTGAAAAAAAAACGCCAAATTTTCATCATTTACCTGTGGAGAGATATTCGCCAAACAAACTATGTTGGGCACATTTTGGGACAGACAGTATTTCATAGTGTTAAGTATTTTGACTATAAAACCATCATTTATCATGGAAATCCAAACTGTTTTCTCGCCAAAATAATCAGCAAAAAAAGCTCTACAAAATCTGATAATGAAAAGTTTTTTAAATAGTTTGAGTTATTTTTGGTGGTTGACTAATCCTGGAAGTATCGTATGGCGACAGCACCGCATTGTCTTTTTTTCTCTTATTTTTTCCTTAGTACTAAACGTTTGTTTGTTTTTATGTATTTTAAATTCAAGGGTTTGTCCTATTAAATCCTAATAGATATATGTAGTACTTCAGCTCCTCTATCGAACAAAAAAAAAAATGATTGAGAAAATGTCGTACCGTTGGATAATACCACCCAAAACAAAAAAGTGGTGCGAGACTTATGACGTCCACTGTAGATCAGATAAACGGATTTCAATCATATTTCATTCGTTTCGAAAATCTAAACACTTACTTGTTCATTGATACGAGTTCCTACATCATTTTTGTTGCGTAATATAGCGCGTGGTAGAGTCCCATCAACATCCCATATTTCTAATGTATGTACATTAGAAGCCATTCGTAATATAGATTCTAATGTTCCTGATTTAATAAAATCAGTTCCACAAACAAAAACTTTACTTATTTGTGTCCATGGAACCAGTGATGATATAGAACTTCTACAATTAGCAAGATCTGAAAAATAATTATTGCCTACAAAACCATTAAGCAGCAACTGATCAGTATGTCGAAACAAATCTAGTGCATTAACCGACATTTGAGAATATCTAAATAGAAATTAGGAGAAGATTTCTATAGATCTTTCATATAAGTTAAACATTTTTTAACATACATTTCAAGATCTCTAGTAAGTAGAGATGATGAAAATATTTTATCATTATATGGTAAAGTATATACCATAAAACTATGAGGAGTTTCACCAATGTTAAAATGATTAGTTTCTTGAATGAAAACTTTTGGTCGTCGTTGATTAATGAATGGAACTTTAAAGAATGAGTTGAATATTATTTTCTCTTCCAAATCGTTATTTATATAAAATGTTAAATGTAGATAATACCTTGCCAATGGATTAAGTCGATTGATACATAATTCCTGTATAGTATCACCTGATATAATCAATGGATCAGATAGATATGAATATCCTTCGAATTTTAATGAGAAATGAGTAATGCGATTAAATACAGATGATAAAAGTGAAATAGCACGATGGAAACTATTGTTATTCGCACAATCTATAGATAAACGAGATAAATATAAAAGGCGATCAGGTTGAACAGCAACGGGTAATCTAAACAATTTAATATGATTTACCATTTAATAGATAATAGAATCTTACTTACCGGATAATGTTAATCCTATCATTCTCTTTTATATCCGGATCTTTTACGCCAATAGAAAGATGTTCAATAAACGGTATTAGTAATAATAAACGTTCTAGAAAATATGATGTGTTCATACCAATTGTCAATCTACGAAGATGAGTCGTATTTAATATATTTGGCAAACTTATTTCTATTATAGTTGAATATTTCCCTAATTCATTTCGTTCTTTAGTACAAATATCAAATGGAAGTCGACAAATTGTTAGACGTGGTAATTTTGAACAGGCCTTTTATAGAGAATGTAAAGATAAAACTATAATAAAGATATAAGAATTTTATCAAGAAAAACTAGAAGTCTTAATCAATTGGACAAATGGGTAAATTACTATATTCTATGTCACTTTCGAGGAAACTTTTCGATTTTAAAAGTCTAGTTAGACCTATAGTCATGACAACGATTGAAGTTAACAAATAACCATCTTTTTTGGTAGATTCAATATACCGATTGAGATCACTTCGTAAACAATTCAACAGATTTCCATGCATGCTAAATAAGTTTCAGTGGAAAACTATTCGGTATATATGAGATACGTTCTATTGTTTACAAAATATGGTTGAAATGTCTATACTTTCCCTTCAAAAAGATTTTAATTGTTAGCCGCGACCATTGTCGGTGGTGTCTAACCAGACTTTCAAAATAAGATAAAAATAAGCAGAAATTATAATTAAGAATAACAAATGAGCAATATGTACTAGAAACTTCACAGATTCACACAAATGTCTTTTCTTACTTTAGTTAGATAAACTCCTTCAACTGTTTGTTGCTTGAAGAGACTATTTTGTTTCACATCAACTAATAGCGTATGTAATTGTTTTATTAAAGGACTAGACAATAATTTATCAAATTCATGTGGTTTTATATCAATGAGATGAAGACGTTGGAGTAATGTTGTTTGATGATATCGGAAAGATGATGAAATAATCGACCATCCGCCAATAACATTGGTTAATCTTAAACGTAATGAAACTATTCGACCTCCTATCAATGTTAACACATTTTTACAAAAATTATGAAACATTGACAAGGACATTGTTGAATCACCAATATGAATGTGCCACAAATATTCATCAATAATCATTCTATATAATCGTTTATTCAAGAATAAAAATGATTGAATAATATTAAGAGGAGATAAGTATTTAAACATCTCAAAAATAACATCGACAGGTAACAATTCAAATGTACTGACGGTCATTCTTTTTTTATTTATCTTGTTCATTCTCATTGAGTTATATATATATAATATATCATACACACTATGATATACATTCCTGCCGATTTTATTCGACGAGCATTGTTCGTTTTGAACTTGTCTCTTTGAAAAATAAATGCGGAAACTTCGGATTTAAATCCGAGAGTTATGTGTACTTCAAAAAGTGAATGAGACAGATGAGTCGTTCTAGAATATGGGGATATAAAAATTATTCTGGCAAACCTTATCTATAAACACTTGATTTCTATTGGCTACTGCTCAACCAATAGGATTTGGGGATGAATACAGCTCAGATTTGAACTCTTCACCTTGGTTTACCCTAAGAAAGTCGTTTTTCCTAAAACTTGATTTCTATTGGTTACTGTTCAACCAATGGGATTTCGAGGCAAATAGAGCACAGATTCGAGTTCTCCACCCCAGAAAACCTCGAACTATCATCTCTGTGATCGAAAGATAGAGCTCTATTTGTGGATCAATTAGAGCGTGACAAAAACAGAACCGAATTCCGACTAATTATCTTTGCAATAGCTGAGTTGGCTTTCTTGTTTCCTTATGTTTTATATACCATTTTGTAGCTCGTAAAATTCTCTATCGAATGGTATATAATAGTTGGGGTTTTAGTTGACTATGATAGGAAAAGTCTTTTACGAAAGTGGGGATGGGTCGATCTTCTCATAGGGAAAAATGACAATTTTTGCAATAACTCAGCAATGGTTCGGCCAATCATTCTCATCTTCGAACTCGACTGAGATATTGTTAAGACTAAACTGTGTAGAAAATTTCATCGCGATCGGACTCTCCTTTCAAAAGTTATCGTGTTAACGGCCGGACGGACGGACGGACGGCCGGACGGACGGACACACTGACCGATTCTAGAGTGTACTCACTTTTTGAGTACACAAAAAAGGAAAATATTGACGTTAACCTTTATGCAATGTACAAATTCGTCTATTTTAACGAGTGCGGCAGGTTGAATGCTCGCGCTTTGCATTTCAATTTTCATTGAGTTAATAGATTGTATCAAAAAACGGCAAAATATATCAAACGATACAGCGTGAAAAGCTTTACAATTTACATAAGACTGATTATTTTATCATTGCACTTTTTCATCTCAAAATAGGAAAAATTTTGAGTGACCAAATTGTAACCCCACGAAAAGGTGTGTTTTAGGTACAGAATGAATTCGTTTTTTGTTATTGTCTTTTCATCGACTGATATGTTTTATTGAAGAAAAAAAGAAAACATACAACAACATATAGAGTAAACAGCTCGAGAGTCTGCAAAATAAACCTTATTTTAATTCTGTACTTTTTCTTTCCAAAAAAAAACAAAATTCTTTGTGATTAATTTTCGCCGTTACGAAAATGCTTTTTTTTCTATATTAATGGGAAATTCATTTTTCCTGGTTTTCTATATAAAATAAACTATTCTTTGTAAAGTATAGAGCCGTTCACGCTGAATATTCAGATATATTGTGTTTTGTTTTACGAAAGCATATTAGGCTATAAAAAAGATGAAAGAAGAAAAAAACGAGTTTCCTCTTCGTGTAGAAAAACGATGATTTTTCAGAGTGATGAGAATTGCTCCCACAGAATTTTACTGTTTTTTTTTCAAATCAAAAAGTGCACAATTACAATAAGCTTTACTTTGGAAATAATAGCGGTTATCACGCTGTATCCTATGATTATTTTGTTGTTTTTTATGAAAGCAGATTAAATGATAAAAAGATTTTAAAAAAGAACTTCTCATTAGTGTAGAACGAGCATATTTTCATGATCGAAACCTGGTCACTCAACATTTTCTCCATTTTGAAAACAAAAGTGAAATTATAAAATAAGCAGTCTTATGTAAATTTTAAAGCTTTTTGACGCTGCATTCCGTAGTATATTTTGCTTATTTAAATACAATGTATCAAGTTAATGGAAATTGAAATGCAAAGAGCTGCCATTCAACCTGCGGCACCTGTTATCTGTAACATACGGTAAACATAGTAACTTTAGGAATTATTTAAACAAAACTACTTTGTTATTACTTCAACGTTTAAAAAGGAAGAATTCTAGAAATAAGTCATTTCGACCGATCCAAATCGAACTCTGATGGAATTGAAATTTTTTATTTCGTTTTCTCATTGTTTCAACCCATTCGAATCGAATAAAGGTGATATTCTGAGAAAAAAATATACTTTGAAAGCAAATATTGGACACTGTGTTTTGGGCATATCGTTACTATAATAGGATATTTTCAAAAGAATAGTACCATATGCGAAAAAACCCGTGAAATTCTCAATCATCTGCTATATTTTTAATTTGATTTTCGCTTTTGAATAATCAACATAAATTGAGTATAATGAAGTCAATCCACGGGAAAAAAACGAGTTGTGATTTCGTTATTTAAAATGATTTAAACTGGTTTTAAAATGATTTAATTTTGATTTTTCAGATGATTTCAATCAGTTTTTCTCCTAGAGTCAGCCTCATGTTGAGATTTCCACAAATATGGTTGTGTCACTGTAATCAAATAAAGTTTTATTCGATTTTGTCTCACCGTCGAATGATTGTTTTAAAAGAGCAACTATATATTCTGAGAGTATTTGAAATATTCTATCGTTTCTATAGATTTGTTTACTCTGTTGCATTTATGTTTTTTCAAAATAATAAATATATCAATAATGAATAAATAACAATTGACAATTTCGAAGAATCTTCTACATGATTTACGTTTTTGAACTATAAATAAAAAGAAAATTATTTTTTGCAAAGTGATTATACATCCTGATAAACCCTCAAATTCTCTATTACCCAACATATTTTCGTTTTATCTTATATTTGTGTGTGCAATAATAAATCAAAAATATTTTAACATCCTCGTTGATCGATTCTAAATTAGATTGGATAAAATCATGTAAAAATAGAGAAAAAGCTGTGAATTTTTTCTAAATTGTCAAATGAGATGACTTCATTGTTCTTATATTATTTTTATAATAGATAAATGCAATAGAGAAAGCAAATCTATGGAAACGATAGAGAATTTAAAATACTATCAAAATATATAATTGTTATTTTAAAATAAATCATTCTACGGTGAGGCAAAATCGAAAAAACTTTATTTGATTAGAGTGACACAATCATATTTGTGGGAATCCTGACATGAGGTTGACTACATTATACTCCATTTACTTTGATCGTTCAAAAGCGAAAACCAAAATAAAAATACAGAAAGTGGTAGAGAATTTTATACGCTTTCAGAATATGGTATTAGTCCTTTGAAAATATGCTTCTATAGTAACGATATGCCCAAAATACGGTGTCTAACTTTTGCTTTCCAAGAGTATATTATGAAAACAAAGATTACCTTAACAAAAGATCTGAAGATTACTACATCTTGATGCGCTCTTTCGAACGAAAAAAATTTAAATATATAGAATGGATCCTGGTAGTGATCTTTCTGGCACAATCAAGAAAGCATAAACTGAGAAAAATGGGAAAAGCCTATATTTCAAGTAGAAACCGACGAAAACCATCAATAATTTTGGTCAGAAATGAGATATTAAATAAAAAGTCATTATTTCTGAAAGGTTAGATTTTTTGCTATTTTTGCATGAATTTATCAACATTTCGACATTTTTTATGAAAACGAACTTTTTTTGAGGAGAGGATGCCTTAAAAAGAGTCATTGAAAACTTCCAACCACTATCATGGATAAAGAAAAATTTTATTTTTCATAACACCCGCTGATCAATCCACTTGTTTACAACTCTAGTCATTCGTGATCTTGCATAAAAAACACGCCAAAAATCAACCAAACGTACAAGTTATTTACAGGAAATTTCTGTCTTCAACATTCAATTAAACATTTGATCACGTCAAGTCTCATGTCGAATGATTGTTGTCGCTCTTCACCATTATTAACCAAATAAAGATTAATCTTGGTAACATCTATTCAAACGAATCTATTCAAATCGGCCACTGCTTTTATTAACACATTGATGTAAGTATATTGCATATCGTCTTTCACTGGACGTGTCACTAACACTGATTTACGTCATTGGATCAGTAGTTGACTTATCTTCTTCCTATAACATTATTTTAGTTCAGCTAGTTTGATGGCTCAGATTTTCATTTTCTTGATCATTCCTATTTCAAAAGGATTCAGATTTCTGATTCCAACATACGTCAGGTAGTCTTGGTCAACAGAGATAGGTACGGGAAAAGCAACATCTGAGGCAAAGCCAGGAGTGAAGGAAATAGACATTCAATGATTATTTATTTATACTAAAGATGACCGTGTGGGAGTCCAGAATTTCAGTCCGATCCCAAATTCGTTCGAAACATATATTGTTAACATCTTATATATTTACTCTCTTTCTCACTTTATATTTATTTTGTTATCTCTTATGTCTTTGCAAAATACATTCTATCAATAACAGAAAATCTAAATAAATTTATGAAAACCTACACTAAGAATTATTCAATTGTTGTTCTAATAGCATAAAATAATATCGAAGTGAGTTAATAGAATATAAAAAATCTATTATAATCTACGTATTTTCAGTTCATAAAAATATGTTAATGCGTGTTTCCTCACAGAAATAGTCTTCAACACCAATCAAATTTATCTAACTTGTAAGAAAAATACTTCTATGATCAATGCTTTTGAACAAAAAAGACATGGAAAAACTGAAAAAATCTCAATTTGCCGATACAGAAAAAGTTGTGCCTACCAGTCAATATACCAGTTAGAACTCTGGTTTGAAAAAACCAAGGAGATATAGTACCCAACCTCATTAAATGATCATCACTGATATTCAGCATCTTTTTGTTTTCTTACACTAATTTATATACGGAAGTTCGGAGATCCAGATCTACCTGAAAGATCTTTTTTTCTCTTATCTCATTATTGATGCTTCTCATCCAATATCCGAATCATCAATGAATCACAAGCACAAACATTTGATTCGTTTTCTAATATTATCTTCGTCACAGGATTCAGCAGACAGTAAGGTCTGGAAGTCTTATTTGATTGAACACTGACATATAATACATCAGACATAAGATTTTAATGAGATCAACTCTTGTCCTCTTTTGTTCAAGTTCATATCGATACAAAACGATGGCTAAGAGTAGGCACATAGACTTGGTTTAGTTCTTAGTTAGAAAATCAAATATTATTCATCGATAGATAAAAGCATAATTCTTTTCTGAGAGTCGATTTGATCAATTGTGCAAATATAACTTTCAACTGTCGATGCACTATGTAAATACATAGGATGATAGATTGGTTCTCCCAATATAAAAATAGATAGATTCTCTTTCGATAGAATAAATCAATCAATCAATGTAGGAATCGTCGTATTTTTCTCTTAATTATCAACAGATTATTTTTATGTTCTCATTTCTTTTATCATCTTTTATGACATGTTTATTTTCTTGGTTAAAAAGCTAACGTAACTGGAGACCTAATCAAATAAGTTCTCTTCATTCTGATATGAGACCTACACATAGAAAATTATTAACATGAATAACATCTGACCAACGAAACTGAAGTAACCCAGATCGTACGAAACAGTCTCTATACGACGTCTCTACGGTAATCCATAGAATTTTGTTTACGAAGGTCCGCTTATATTATACATCCATGCAAATTAGGAGACATTAATGGAGCTATTACTAGGAGGCCATGTATGGTACGTAAACGAGGTCGTATACACTCTATTTTCGGATTCTCTTGTCTGAACATCTTTTAAATATCCCTATACGCCTTCATATGAATGAATAAAGAATGCAAGTGATTGTAGACAGCGCAGCCCGTAAGAGCTCATCGTGGTAGGTTTTCAGGTGGGTACGTAAACGTCGCATATTTATCCGATATCCTCTCTGTAATGATTGAGTATTGCAAAAGTGATTGAAATCTATGGATAGGTACCAGGTGATGATATACAAGCAATAAGTCTGATGAATTTCATCGAATACCATCAAGTAATTGATCGTAGAACGGTTATGTCAATTTTCTTATCGAGAACATTTTTTCTTTAGCGTACATCTTACTCAAAATTCTTTTTTTTCTGCTTTATGTTCAGTTTCTAGCGCCATTTTTTATCCATTTTATATATCAGTCAATAGCTTTCGTTGAGATCTACATGACGCAACAAAATTGCAATTTTTAAAAAAGTTTGACTGTCTAGTTTCATTGTCATCAATATTGTCTGTATTATTGAAGTAACGATAAAACATATAGTTTTTTTTGCAAACTTTATTCGTGCGTCGCTTCTTCGATAAATAGGAAGTATTATAGATGACACAGACTACTCTCTTTTTAGTCTTCCTCACACAAAAATACTTTTCTAGATTTTTGTTTATTCCTTTATTCTAAAATCTAGATCGAAGCACATTGCAGAGAAACAATCATATATGCTGCACAGTAGAATATTAAATATAGTGTACTACAACTAGGAGTGATTGCAGAGCGTGACTACTTCATCAGAGCAACGTCAGTCTATGGACCACTAATTCATGGCTTATTTAGAATAATTTATGCTGCAAAGACGTTGCAAACATGACTCATTTACGTATAAAGTAATGCATCATATTCGAATAATATACAATCTCTTTACGATATGGATAAATTACGAACACCATATTTCTGCCTCAAATAATTCGGTTAAATATCGACCGAAAGTGATTCGTATTGATACTATTTACTGCCGTAAAAATGCCAATTTTTGCCGATACATTCCGAAAAGACACTGTAAAGGGATTTGTTTTGATCGACTTTAAAATGTAAATGGTGAATAAAATACTTTGAATAATGCATGTTCCACTCCTCAGCAAAGTGCCGCGTCGAAAATTCTAGTTCTTTCTATAAACATCAATCATGGATTGAGGGTGTTAGATGAGGACGATGGACGTTATATTATCTTCAACTTCGCACCAGCTTCACTTTCAAACACTACCTACACTCCTGTCCATATTCAAATAAATGACTAGTCCTGATAACTTGTTCAGGGTTTTTCTTATAGAAAAAATCAGGTAAATTGACCAAATCGATGTGTTACAAAAAAAATTAGTTTTCTTTGTTTGATTTAGTGTTGCTGTTGTTATGAAGATAATTGTTGACTTAGCAAAGGTCAATCAGATGATGTTCACTCGATCTTTGTTTAGTTGTTCGTTCCGCTATGCCGTTGTAGATGATCAACTTTGGATATTTTCATCCATCAGTTCTCTGCTTAGAACTTTTTAATTTGGATGTGAGAGAGGATGTCATTTAAAGTCTTTCTCTATAAGTTATCAATGTAACCTACAAAAGATATTCACATTCTACAGACACATTCGATTAAGATAAAAATCTAAGATGAAAAACAAAAATTTTTCGAAGTATGTTGGTGTGTGACATAGTATTCAATGGATTGATAGAAGTTATCTTAATTATATATGAGAATAAAATATATTTCGTTGATCGATTTATCTGATTATTTAGTTATTTAAATGATATCCTTTATAAATATATGTTTTCATTGCAGAATGTTTTATCTTTTCTATAAATTTAATAAATGATAATTAACTAGGAAAAGGTTTTGTTCTATAAAAAAAAACAAAAACCTAATCTATTGTTCGAATATTGCAGAGAGAAGATGAAATAAATAATAAATGAAAAATTGATCTCTATAAAAGGAAAGTTATTTAATTGGTGTTATTGAAATAAAAAAACAAAAGAAAAGAAATGTTTATTTGAAAAAAAGAGTCAAGATATATAATCGATAAAATTTAGTTAAAATCCTAACATTGGTTCATCACGTTGAATATCTTTTATTGATGGAGTATTTGTTCTTTGAGTTGATTGAGATAATTGAGATGTTGGAGAAGGATCTCTTACAAGATTATTTTCATTTTTAATTGATGAGAGATTTTCCGTTTCTTGACGAATAACAGTTGGATATGGAATTGTTAAACTTTCTTCTTTTTCTAAATAAATTTATTCAAAATCGAATCTTTTTTTTTGTTAAAATAAATATAAAAAAACTAAAATGAAATACCATTTTGAAAAACAATATAAGTCATTGGATCAATTTGTTCATTTAATAATAAATAAAATAATGGTGAATCAAGACGAGATGATGGTCTTGAATAAACTGGACACATATTAGAATCTATTGTTAATTCAGTTGCACATATTTCAATTGGTGGACAATCATTTGTTATTCCACTAAAGAAATTATTTTAAAATTTTAAAATAATAACAAAAAATCCAACCTAATTGATTTAATTCGATAATTATCTTCAACAATTCCATTAATTATTGTTAAACCATTTAAAATCAAATGACGAGTTTTATCAGATGAGATTTTTTTTTCTTTTGATGATGACCATTGACCAATACATTGAATCTTTAATAAAAACATTTTGTTTTTTTTTATATTAAATAAATAATAAACTAACTTTATCTCGTGTAAGATTAACTTTTAATGCATGTGAAAGACACATTAATTCAATTAAATTTCGACTACGATTAATACAACGGCAATCGAGTTTTTCAACATCTTTTAAACAATTTATCCAAGAATAATATTCGTTAAAACGATGACGACATTCTAAAGATTAATTATTTGTTTATCTTTAAAAAAAAATTAAAAAAAAAAACAAACGATGAATAAATTGAGCAATTGAAATAAATATTGGTGCAGATGATTGATCGGAAAACCAAGATAATGGAATTTTATTTCTTTCAAGATCAAATCCAATTGATCGAAATCTTGGATTTTTATCTAATAATAAATTATCATAAGATAACATATCTTCCATTTCATTTATATCATTTAATATTAATTCGATTTGTTTATTAAAATAGATTATTTCCTATAATATAGAATATCCTATAATTATATAAATAAAATTATTTGTTTTATACCTGATAAAGAGCAACATTAACAAAATCTTGATTAAACTCTATTGTTGAAGGTAATTTAAGCAATGGAGGTAAACGTTCTTTAAATAAATGAATATTATCATGAATTAAAGAAACGTTTAATTGTTGATTAATATTTAAGGATTTTTCGTGCCATAATTTATTTAATTTTTCGGTAAAAATCGAAAATTGATGTTGAAGAGAATTTAATTTAGATGGATAATTATTATATGTTAAATTAATTTGTGGATGTTTTGATAAAAACCATTGAAGATTAAATTGATTTTCATTTTGAGGAATTTCAAATTGACAATCATTTAATCGTATTGAATCTTTTGATTCAATTTGTTGAAAAAGTTCATTTAAAAGTTTATTTAATAATGGAGAATTTGTTGGAAATGCCATTTCAATTAAATATCTTTGAAATTTTTTATCTTTTGTATTTTCAATTAAACTTAAAATAAATTCAATTAAATTTCTTGTCCATTGAACTGTAAATGAAGTTTGTTGAAATATTTGTTGATAATAAACAAGAATTGATTGAATTAATATTGAACCATATATTATTGTAAGTTCATCTTTTTTACAACGATTTATTATTGATGAACAATTTGATAAAATTTCTCCAATTATTAATTCAATTGAATTTGAAGAATATTTATATAATAAATTTGATAAATTTCCCTCTTTTATTTCTATTAAACAATCATAATGATCAATATGAGCATCAACATAATTTATATTTAAACAAGCTTCTTTAGTTAATATAATATCACATTGAGAATGACCTTAAAGACAAGAAAAGAATTTATTTTATTATTTTTATTTATTTTTTCAAATAACTTACGACGAATTTGTTTAATAATATGTGAAAATGATGTCTCATGAACATTTTTAAAGAATAATATATCGTAATCATTATTTTTATAATCAATTGTTTTTGTAATTAAACAATCAATTTGACAAACTTTTTTTCCTTTTTCATTTATTATATTTTCAATATAATTATCAAAATCAATTTTATTTATTAAATATTCTCCTGGTATAATTGATTTAACTGGTATTGATGGTAAATTAATAAAATGAACACCTTGAAAATCTGGAGGATTTATTTCTAAATGATTTAAATCAAATTGTTGAATAACATATTCTTGTAAAGCATTCATTAAATAATCAGGACGTAATAAACGAATAATAACAAGTTTATCTAATTGTGAATATTGTTTATCATTTTGATTTGGAAATTGATTTAATTGAGGATTAAAATACCAATCTTTCCATAATTGATCATTTAATAAAATCGATTCTGATAAATGATATAATAAATCATCTTTATTAAATAAATTTGATAATGATATTATATCAAACCAAATTATATCTGATTCAATCCATGAAGCTTTTTTATTTATTCCTGTTGAATATGATAATGATTCAATATTAATTCGTGGTAAACCAGTTGCTAACAATTCAATTTGAAGGATTTCAGTTTTTCCATCACTATTTTCAACTGCTGTTTTTAATAATAATTGAAGAAGAACTAAAAATTCAAGACGATCTTCATTGAATAATTGACTAAAATAAAAAACGAAATTTTTTTTCAAAAAAAAAAAAAAATTCTTTTTGTTTTTTCTAAACGAACGGTAAAATTAATTTAATAAATGATTGAATCATTTTTTTAATATTTTCATCAATTTGTTGTTGGTCAACTGGAGAAAATTCTTCTTTAGTTAAATCATTTATTTCAATTAATAATGGAAGTTTATCATATTCTTTAGAAATAAAAATATAAAAGATTTTTTTTTTTTAAAGATTTATCTTAAATAAATAAAACATACGTTCATCTTGAATATCTTTCCAAAATAGTTTATCTTCAATTGATGTTTGATTATTTAAAGGAAATAATTGATCAAATAATTTATAAATAATATTTATTGAAAATTTATAATTTAAAGGTGAAAGAAGATTTATTCTTTGAATAACTGAATAAAGTAATGCACCATGTTGAGCATAAGGAAAATAATAATCAACATATACTTCAATTGAATCCAATAATCCATAACATTCTTCAATTACTTCACCTAATTTATATTTTCTTTCTAATGCAACTGATGTTAATACAACTTTTTCACCTTCAAATCCATCACTAAATATTTTATTTTTTTTTTATTATATTTATTAGGATATTTAATATCTATATTCACATTTCGAATACATTATTAAATTACATAAATATCATCCAAATCGAACTATCTTATAGATTTTTATTTACAAATTATCTATATCATCTTTTTTTTTTCTTTAATTAATAAGACCTTTTCGATTATTTATCTTTAATTTACAAATTTCTATTCGAGATAACAAATATTAAATAAAATAAAAAACTTTTCAAATATCTTGATCAAATCTCATTTAATTGATCAACAGAAAAACAATATACTCATCAGGAGGAATTTGGATCATAATTTTAAAAATTCATTTTATTGTTCTTCGTTCTTCTGTATTTTACGCAATATAGAAGTGAATTTTGGATTACAATTGGAAGAAAGTGTGCTCTATCAATTGACAAAAGAAACTCTGAAAAATCATCTTTTCTAAGAAAATACGATCGAAAATACAAAAAGTAGTGTCGAGGTGATCCAAATAACTTCACATAGGGTTATTCGGATCACCTAAGCAATCTAAGTGGGCTAATTTGAATCATCTCGACACTGATTTTTGTATTTTCGATCGTATTTTCTTATTAAAGATGATTTTTGGTAGATTCTTTCGTCAATCGATAGAGCACACTTTCTTCCAATTGTGATCCAAAATTCACTTCTATATTGCATAAAATACAGAAGAACGAAGAACAATAAAATGAATTTTTAAAATTGTTATCTGAATTCTCCCTCATGACTATATTTCGATTAAAGAGATAATCAAACATTTTATTTAATATTTATCCTAATATCATATTTTAAAATATTTAACCAATAATATCTCTTGAAAATAGATAAGTTAAAACGTTTTCCATAATATATTCTATCTTTGAATAATAAGAATCAATTTATTTAGTTAATAATATATTAATTATTTCTAGGATAGGTAACCAAACATTTCCAATGAAAAGAATAGTTTCAATAATCTTTATAAGATCCCCAATAGCAATTTGAGAATAGCGAGGACGAAGAGAGTCGAATATTTTTATTCTATTTGAGATTAAACACAGTTAATACTTTATATTCACAAGGCATATTTTCTACTCTATAATATTGTTACACTTAGAAAAAAAACACGGAACTTGGATAGAAAGGCCTGTACTTTAATAAATCTAAGAACATTTATCTTTATTTTATATTGACTCTCAAAACAAGACTTTTTTATCTCCTTTACTAAAAAAACCAGAATAATGTCGTTAAGCAATGATGTTCTCAAGAGAAAAAAGAAACTTGATAAATTCTATAGTGGATTTATTTAGTTTGTTGAAAATCTTTCTTAGACATATAAAGACGAAGAAAAATTTGACTAGTTTGTTATTTATCTTAATTTTTATTCTTAATAAAATTCAATGTTTCCTCAATAATGTCTTCGAAATATAATTGACAACGAATATTTGACTATTTATCTTTAAATCAGTCGAGAAATTTTCATTTTTCTATAAATATTTCAATCTGATGAAATAATTAACAAATATTGAAGTCGATTCTAGAGTAAACCTACGATAGGATAATCTAGGAAAGGATTTTATCTAGATAAGCATAATAATTTCCCTATCTATGGTTTCTATCTCGATTTATTATTTATTTTAATGTAAATCATCAGCGAGAAGAAATCGATTTTTTTCGATTTCATTTTGATTATACTTTGAGAAAGTTATTCTTGTATGAAGTTGACTTGAAGGAAGTCAACTGAATAAATCGAATTTAACATATTATTAAATAATATTAAATTGTTAAAAATAAAATTTTCGATTGACAAATCTAAGATGATAACATGGAATAGGATTGTTCAAAGATTTTATTCTAAAATAATATTTTCTAAATCTGCCTATCATCTAATAGTTATAAAACAACGATTTTCGTCTGATTATTTGACTTGGAAAGTAAATTGTTAAAATAGTTGTTTATATATATACGAAATGTGAATATGTTTAAGATGTTTTTATAAATAATTGAATAATTCTATTGAGAAGAGAATTTTTTCATAAGAAAAAAAAAGAAAAAGTATTGACTAAATGAAAATTGAGTTATGATAAAATATTATTTTTAAATGAAATAAAAAACGTTGAATAATTATTTTTAAAAACAAACCTAATTGAATTTAATTTAAGAAATGAATCAATTGATTTAATTCTTTGTTGACAAATTAATATTAAACGTAAAATCGATAATTTTCTTTGATAAATATTCGGTTGAACACGTTGAAATACTTGTTGTCGTAAATCATCTAATAATGTTTCAACACTATATTGACAATTAATTGCTGTTGTCATTAATGATAATGATGGTGAGACTTTATCAAGAGAATCAATATCTGTTTGAACAAAAAAACGAAATGATGGATTACAAAATAAACGACGACCACAATATATTATTAAATTTGTATCTAAATTATATATTTATTATTATGAGAGATTTTAAAAAAAACAAAAAGTAAAAGTAAAATACCATCTTTAGTATTAAATTTTTGTGATGTTGATTTCCATTGTGCTAATGGATAAATAAGACTATCTAATGAATTACAATTTTTTATATAAATTTTTGAACCAGATAAAAATGATTGTTCAATTAACATAACAATTTCATGATTTGATCTTTTTTAATTAAATATTTTTATATAGAAAACAAAATAAAAATAAAAACATACTCATCATCAAAATCAATTATTTGAACATTATAATAATCTTTTATCCATTGATCAGTTTCTCCAAATGGATCAATTAGAAGTGGAGGATATTCAACTGATTTAACAATAATTGTATGATTTTCCATTTGTGATGATAAAACTCCATTACTTAACCATTCAAGATAGATTTCATCACCCAATAGAAATTCAATTAATGAAAATAACATTTGACGATATTCACTTCCACTTAACAATTTTTCTTCATCATTTATCTAAATTATTTTTCAAAAAAAAAATAAATAAAAATTGAAAAAGAAGAAAAGAAAACTTGTATTTGATTATCTTGAATTGAATCTAATTGCCAATTAATAATTCTTCCTTTAACAGATGATATTTGATCAAAACTAATAGTCATTCCTCTATCTCTAATAGATTTAATCCAATGAAGAGTTAACATAAGACGACGAAATCCATATGAATATGGACCAAGATAAATTAAAAAAGCTGAACTAATTCCACATGTACCAATTAATGTTGATTGACGTTCACTAGTTGATTCAAATATTTTACTTGTTCGTTCTAATTCACGAGATAATATCTAAAATATATCATTTTATTTGGTTTTTTTAAAATTATTTAACAAACTTCATTTAATTGTGATGCAGTTTTTAATTGATTTTCTTTTATTGAAACTTTTTCTTCTTGATCTTTTTTATCAACTGTTGCTTCTTCAAAATTTTGTGATAGATCTTTTAAACGAGCTTCTAATGCCTAGTTTTACAAATCAATTTTTTTATTTTTATTTTTCAATAAAATTCTAAACTAACTTGACTTTTATTATCTAATAAAATTAATTTTTGATCTTGTTCTAAAACATCTTGTTCAATTTCTCCACATTTTTTATGTAATGGTTTGACTTTTTTAAGTAATATTGTATGATATCTATAGAATGAGACCTTACATTTTATAATAAAATTTATTAAATAAACAAACTTACTGTAATACTCGTTTAACCCATTTATAAAGAGTAAAAACAGCATTATGATAAGAAGGTTGATTAAGTGTTTTATCTTCAAGGTGAACTCTATCAATAACTCCATTAATTAAATTAATTTGTTCTTCTGTTAAATTAACTTTATCAAATAATTGAGTTTCTTCAATAAATCTATCAAGATTAGCCATTTGTCTTTTAGCACCTTTTTGCCATGTTACATCAGCTGTTGGAGATTTTACTTTAAGAAAAGAAAAAAAAAATAAAAATAAATATTCAAAAAGAAAAAAAAGTTACAAATCATAATAACAGCAGCTATAGTATCTTCAAGTGATTGTTCAGGTTTAGTAATTGATCTTAATTCTTGTAAAGATTTCATATCAAGTGTTTCAATTAATTTTCTTGCATCAGTTGCAATAGCTAAACATTTATATAAATTTTTTTCTTGTGTTAATTCATATTCAGGTAATAATCTTTTTAATTGAACTGTTCGTCGCGTTTGACATTTATGAGCACGAATTTGTTGTTCAGCCATAACCATATCTTGACCGATTTGAACTAACATACGTTCAGTACTCTTAAATGATTTTATATATATATAGAGATAAATTCTTTAAAAAAAAATACTTTAAGTCTTTCTTCAAGTACTGTTTTTTCATGTTGTAATTCTTTTTCTAATTTTGATGCTGTTTCATGTTGATATTGAATTTGTTCAAGAAGACGTTGAACATCACAATGATTTTCATAAACATTTGCAGATTTTTCATTAAATATTGTTACAAATCTTAACAGATTTTTTTTTTTATTAGAAAAAAAAGATGTTTGTTTTATTTATCTTAAATAAAAATTACTTTTCAACAAATATAGTAAATGTATGATTGTTAATATGTGGTAATTTTTGTGTATGATTTGCATTTGCATTTCGTATTGAAATATGCATTGAAGCAAGAAGATGAGCAGTATTTTCCCTACTACTTTTATCCAACCATTGAACATCTTTTTTTTTAATTTAATAAAAAAAAATTAAATTAAATAAAAAAAAATGAAAAAAAACAGGTAAACCTTTTAAATGATAAAGACTATTTTGTACAAGTGTTTGAGTATCCCAATGTTGCCAATAAATTAATGTTATATTATTAAATATTGATGGATGATCAAGACATAATTTATTATTTATTTCATTCATTAATATTAATACACGAATATTTTCTTTAACATTTCTAAAGAGAATTTTTTAAAATAAATAAATTATATAGAATTAAATAAAGCAACAACAACAACAACAACAACAACAAGAAGAAGAGGATGTCAACTACAAGCAGATGAAACATACCTTAGAATTCTGAAATGGTTGTTTAGTGCAGGGTGAACAATCAATATGATAAAGAAATAGAAAAAAAAAAGGCATACCGAAGAAAAAATTCCCAAGCAACAGCTCGAGAAAATGAAAGACCAGCTTGTTGAACTTGTGTTCGAACTGAATTTAAAACTGATGTTTCTTCTTCTAATGAAAATAAACTTGACATTTCTTCTGTATTTAATAAATTAGTAACTTGAATTATTAATTCAATATGTTGAAATTCTTCTTCTGTTATTAATAATATGATTTTTTCATTCTAAAATGAAATAACAAAGAGATTTTTATAATTAAATAAAAAGAAAAAATAAAATGAAATAACTAACTCGAATTCCTGCATCAATATACGTTTGTGTTAATTTTTGTTTAATAAATGATTGATGACGATCATCAGATGTAATTAAATGACTTGTTTTAAATGAAACTAATTGATAATTAACAATTGATGCAAATAAATCAATCATCGATGGATCAAGAACGCCTTCAGCCATAATACAACAATGTCCATCAACTGTTTGAATTTGATGACATAAACGACATAATAATTCAATATAACACTACAATTTATTATTATATCAATATTAAATAAAAACAATAAACAATAAAATAAAATAAAACTAACTGGATAAAGTGGAAAACTTATTTTTGGTTTTTCTTTGTTATATTCAATAATGGAATTTTTAACAAGTGTTTCAACTCGATTTTGATCTGTGACAAGATTATAATTATCTGTTAAATAATTTTGAGAATCTCGACTTAAATTTGCAACAACCATTCCTAAAATTTTTTTTTATCAAATAAACAAATTTCATATAAAAATAAAAAAAGAGAAGTTAACAGACCACTTTCAGTAAGTTGTAAATTTGAAAAAAGTTGATTTTGAATAGTTAATGCTTGTTGTTCATTAATCATATTAGTAAAATATTTTTTAACAATAGTTTGATATAATTGTAAATATCTTTGTTGATCAGTTTGATCAAAGAGACGTTTACCATAAATCCAATCTAATTCATGATGCCATAAATAAAGTAAATCATCAATTGAAGATTCAGGTGTTAAACTAATACAAATATTTCTAAATACTTGTGTTAATTGTTTCATTGTAAAAACATAATGAATACGTTGACTTGTTATATTAAACATTGTTCTCATTCTATCATTTAATTCAACTGTTCCCTTAACAATTCTTTCAATAATTAAACGAAGATATTCAAGACGTTTTAATGTTTGTGTAGTTAATTTATCTTTTAATCCAATTGTTGTTGATGGACCTCCTGTTGTTGTTGATCTATCAGTTGTTGTTGCTGTTGTTGTTGTTGTCATTGTTGATGATTTTCCAGTTGATATACGTGTTAGATTATCATTTGAATCTTTAATAGTTAACTGAGATTCTCCACTATCTCCAATAAAATGTCTATTAACTAATTTTGAAAAAATCGATACTAAATCTGATTGATTTGGCATATCCATTTGTATAATATGAAAATGTTTTATTAAACGATTTAATTTTGATAAATATTTATTTGAATTAATTGTAACAACATATGTTATATTATCAATATGTTGCCATTTGAAATTAAATGGAGAATAAAGACCATTTGAATCAATATGTTGACGTAATAATTCAACTAATGATTGACCATCAGATCGATCAATCTAATTTAATTATATATATATATATGTATAAATATAAAATAATAAAAAGTAAGCACAAAAAAACCTTAGCAAGATTAAGATCATCAACAAAACAAAACATTTTTCGATTTCCTTTAGTTGTATAATAAGATGAATGTTTCCATTGAAGTTGTTCTTCAATTTTTTGATAAACTGTTAAACCATCTGTTTCTCTAGAAATATAAATCTATTAAGAAATAAATTAATTTAAAAAAAAACGAACGCATTGCAATTGATTGTTATATAAAAAACATCACTTATATCTCCACCACATGTTGCTTTTAAACGATCATTTATTAAAGCACTTTTTCCAACTCCTTGTTCTCCAATTAATAAAACAGGATGATCATTTTCACTCATTGAATTAATCAAATGTGATAATGCCTAAAGAAATAAAACAAAGGAGAAGTTTTTTTTTTTTTTATTGTTTAAAATAAAAAGAAAGATTAGTTATTATATAAACCATTGTATAAGGTGTATGAACAAATATATTATTTGGAATTCCTTGATGTGCTAATGGATTAAATGCTGGTATTGTATCAGACCAAAGAACAAATTGATGAGAATCAATATCATACATCCAATCAGTTATCTATTAAATAAATAAATAAAAGATAGAAAAAAAAAAAAAAAAAAAAAAACGAAAATACAGATTTCTCATTTGGTATATGATGAAATGTAGTTCTCCACCAATTTTCAAATTGTTTTCTATAATCAAGATGAATATGTGTTATAAATGACCATAAAAGAGTAAATTCAACTAATGGACGTATATCAATAAATGAAAATTTATCATTTTTAAGATAATTTTTTAATAAAGTTATTGTCATTGATATTTTTGATATAAATGATATATTTATTGTTGATTTATCGTTTATATCATATGATTCAATTTTTGATATATAATCAATTAAAATTCTTTCTAATTCTTGATATATTTCTGAATAATCTTTATTTGAAAAATTAGATAAAATAAAATCTTTCCATGTCCATATTTGTTCTTCAATATAAAGCATAACACATGATGAAAGTAATAATGGACTTAAATTATTTAAATTTTCTAACTAAATTTCGAAATAAATATTTTATTTTTAATAAAAAAAAGTAAATCTTACTTCCCAAAAAATGTTTGCATGATCTAAATTAATAATAAAATGTTCAATTGAAGAAAGATCATTTTGATTAAAACCATCAAGATGAAGATAAAGATTTTGTTTATTATATTGAATAATATTATTTAAAAGACCTTGTTGAAATAAATTTGTTTTATAATCATATTTTAAAAACAAATCTTCTAATGACCATAATTCTAAGATAATATGATGATAAATTTGTTTTGAATTAAAAAATGATTTTGATTTAATAAATGTTTTTATTAAAAGAGTTTTTCCAACTTGACTTTTTCCAATAATAAGAATTTTCGAATGATTTTCATTTAAATAATTAAATTGAAATAATTTTTTTAAAATATAATCATTTATATTTAAATGAAATTGATTTAAAACTAATTCAAATGCATCTGATATATTCCATATATTATCTCCAATATATCGATTATTTAAAGATAAACTATTTAATGGATATGATTTTATATTTTGTTGTTTAACGAAATTTATTTTATTTAATAGAAATGATTCTAAACATTTTTTATCTTCGATTTTAAAACATTTTGATATTATTGATAAACCATTATATAAACATTTTTCTTCTTCTTCAATTTTATGATCATTTAAATTTATTTTACTATATTTAATTAATAATTTTATTAAAAATGGATTTAAATCGATATATGATCGAATAATACCTAAAAAACAGAAAAATTTCTTTTTGTTTTTTATTTAAAAAAAAAAAAAAAAAAAAAAATGTTACCATGTTGAGATATATTTTCAGTTATAGAATGATCAACAATATAATAAATAAGATTAATAAAATTTTTTGATATATTAAATGCATGATGAAAACCAGATTGAATTAAATAAGATATAAATAGATGAGTATTATCTGGTCTTATTATACTTATAAGACGATTATTATTGATAAAATCACTTTTTAATGATGATAAATTTTCAATTGTTTGAGGATAAATTGTTGAAAAAAAATTGATTTGATTATAATCAGTTAATGTATATGTTTGTGATATATATTCAAATGATTTATTCTTTTTTAATATTGTTTCATAAACTCGCGATGATAATTGAAGAAATAAATGAAGAGATTTTTTATTAAGTTTATTTATATAATTAAATAAAGTAAAATTTCCTTGACTAAGACCAATAAAATAATTTATTATTTCATATTCACTTGTTATTGAATTACATTCAAGACGAAATAATGTTTCACCTATATTTGATGATAAATTTTCAATAAAATAATCACTCTTAAATAAACAATAATTATATTAATGAAACAAAAAAAAAAACAAACAAATAAAATCTTACATATTGATTAAGAATTAAACTTCCTCCAGGTGATCCTAATGAAAGAAAGATTTTTCCAATAAAATCATGTTCACGAGGAGTAAACATTTCTTTATTTATAACCAAATCATAACCATAATTTATCGATTTATCTAAACACTATAAACAAATATTTTTGTTATTTTTATTTAATAGAAATAAAAAAATACTTGAATTGATATTTGTTTTGTTTGTTGATTTGAATAATATTTAAGAGTAAATGACCATTCAAATGAATTAATATCAATTGGAAAACGTATTAAATAAGATGATAATATTGTTAAAAGATCATCCAATTTTCCAATTGATTCTTTTTTATTTATTAATAAATATTTATCAGATGAGTTTTCTCTAACACCATTTATTTCTTCTAATAAATTTTTAGTTAATTCCATTAATTTCTATTTAACATATTTACAATTAAACATTTATTCGAATATTATTTCTTTTTTAACTTAACAGATTATTCACCTTTTTTTTTTATATTACAACTGGACAACAGAACTCTATTTACTCAATATATATATACAAGACAATGGTGCACACTACTTTATTTAATTATATTTTTATTGTTTAGAAGTCGAAGATTGGTTTTTTTTTGTCGAAATTCTATATTAACTTTTCTAACAATTAGGATATGTATCTTTTACTAAAATTTCTAGTTTCTATTGTTTTGTATGTCTGTACCTAGATAGAAATTTGCTTTCGATTCGAGATAATATATATAATATTAACTCTAAGAGGTTTTCAAGACGTAGAAAAAAACTTGTCAACATATATCATTGAATAAATAGAAAGAATATTTTTTCAATTCTATGAGAATGAATATATACTCTATTTAAAATAAATAAAATATAACTCTTATAAGAAAAAAAAACTCGTTGATATTTATAATCAGTTAACGAATCTTAGAAATCTCTACCATTATCAATATATAATAAATGATCAATTTTTCACCATTTATATTATAATGAGAATAAATTCGACTCTTTGATCACATCAAATCTTATTAGAAAAATCAATGGATTTATTCGGTTCGAATAGGATATTATTAAATAGAGAGATTTAATTGTCACACGATTTCTGACTGTTGGAAAGCGTCGGAAGGTAATTATTATTAAATAAAATCTGAGTGTTGAAATTCTCTCTCAAAGAATATAACAACTTCTAACAATATTCTATAGAATAAGTTTATCATAGAATATAAATGTTTTTTTTTTCGAATGTCGAAAATAAAAAATGAATTAATAATTGATAAATAAATAAATAAAAAAACCTGTTGTGAATGATTTTCTTTGGAATATTGTTCAATAAGTTGTGTAAACATTATTTTAAGAACAATAACAATTGTTTGTCGAGGATATTTGATTAACCAATCGACTAGATTTAATTGATTATTTTCTCTTAATTCTAAAAAAAATTTATAATAAATAATCAGTTTTGCCTTTTTTTAAATAAAAACCTTGAATAGCATTATCAATTGAGTTTTGAATTGTTTCTTTTAAATTAACAAGTAGATTATCAATAAATTTTTCGATATTACCTTCAAAAAGAACATTCTAAAAAAGAAATAAAAGAAACGATTATAAATTCTATTTAAATTAAATTTTAATAAATAAAACTTTAGTAAATATAATTGTTTCATATTGATGTTCGGTTATTAATCCAATAGATTGATCTTTATTTTCATGAGAAAATAAAAGATTTTTTAATCCCGGTATAACATAACTAAGATAATGACTTAATGATTGAATATTATAACCTTTAATAAAAGAAGAAATAATAATTTAATTTAAATAATTAAATCTAACCTGATGTTAATAAATCAAATAATTCAATATCACTAAGATAAACAAATCGTCCTCGTTTATATTGATTAAATAATTGTTTTCGTAATGATTGTTGAGATTTATTTAATTGATTTGTTAAATATTTTAACATAGGAAGAATATCTTTTAATAAATAAAAAATAAAAAAATAAAAAAAGTCTATTAAATAAAAAGAGTTACTTTTTTTTTGACAACATTTTAAAACATTATTATTATTTCCAACTGAAATCATTAAACTTCGAAAATCTTTATCAATTTTTGAAAAATGAATATTTGTTTGAGAATCAATTTCAATTATTGGAAAAAGCGAATCAATTTTAATCCATAATTCTTGAACATAATTCCATTGTTTTAAAACTTCTTCAACATGTTGTAATGTTGATTGCCATTTGGATATTTCATCAAGAAATGATCCAGCTGATTGATTTGTTTGAAGAATTTCTAAATTTATTTGATGATCTTCGATTTCAATAAACATTTTATCCAAATTTGATAATAAATTTATTTTATCCGATGTCTTCAAATATATTTTTTTATTTTATTTTATTTTATATTTTATTATTTAATAAATATATACATACAGATACATCTATATTTAATAATGATTGAGATAATGATCCAATACTGACTCGAGATTTTTTGTTTGTTGATGATATATTCGTTGATGCACTTTTTCTTTGTTCATTAGTCTATTATATTAATAATTATAAATATAGATTATTAACAATGATAAACTAATTCAATTAGATAATTAAACTTTTTTTCTTATAGATTCTTCTTCAATAGAAGAATATTTTCATTTTTTTAAATTATTCTTTAAAATATATGTTTAACAGATTTTTTTATAATATATAAAACAAGTGTTTACTTAACAATTGTTTCATTTGGTTGAAATCATAAAATAGATAATAGAGAATAGAACGATCTAATCAACCTCTATCGAGTATAGAGAATTTTTGTCACCGAATGATATATTATCCTATTCTCATTATTCGAGATCAAATTAATAATAAGAGAGAATAAACGAGTCAATAGTTTCGATAGATATTCAATTTGATAAGAATAAAACAAATCTAAACCTATACAATGAGTAAGAATGGTCTAGAATAACTCCTATTCTATATATTATTATCATTATTAGATAAATTATTTCTAAAAAGAATTATTTTATTAATATAATTAGATAATTAACTTATTTAATTTATTTAAATAAATCTTCATTCGAAAATAAAATAATAAAAATGAATATATTGACGAATAGAGTTTATTTATTATATAATAAATGATTTTGTTTCTATTTATTGATAAAACTAATTTCAATATTAAATAATTCGATTTTATAATATAAAAAGTCTCTATCAAATATAAATCTTTAGAAAATCTTATATATATATATAAAACTATATTTAATCATAAATTAAATTGAATTTGAATCGATTGAAAAAATGAGATGATTAAAATATCTATATTAAAGAATAATAAGATAAGAATATAATATATTATCTTAGATAAAACATATTGATAACGAGAATAATTTACTCTTATTATTAATAAAGTAATTATTCAAATATAAATAGGAATTAAACAAAGTTATTTCTCATTTGAATCAGTTCGAGTTTTTTTTTTGTCTATGAAAAAAAATCAATTTGTCGTTTATGTATTCTTGTTTTATTAATCTGTTTATATTGAAGAGATTTTCTCTAAGATAAAT